TGAACCAAGACTGCATGAACTTCTTTCACTCACCAAGAACCCATCATTCCGAAAGTGAAAAAAGAAAAAAGAAAGAATGCCTAAGACACAGAAGCTACGATCATCAGGGCATCCAATAGTGACACAGTTACAGGAATGCCCTCTTATTGTTGTGAAACAAACAATCATAATTCTTCTAATGTACACTTAAAAACCAACGAACCAAATAAATCTTCAAATAGTGCCCAGAATGTTACTTCACATGGTGGCTTTGACCAAAGGCGATTGAGGTAAAGGCGAGTGAGGTGACATCATCATGTCATCCATGTTCCTCGATTTAAAGCTTAATCGTAATTTTAAGCTGCTCTGCGAGCACAGTTTCTTTGCAGGTACCTTTGTTTCTGTGTTTTGAAGCACAAAAGTTCGGATTCTTGTCAAAGCGACTTCCACTGCGAAATCATCCATATTAGCATAGCATACTCTGAACCACCCAGGTTCGCAGCAATGAAATGAAGAACCAGGTGAAACATTGATCTTCACTTCATGAATGATCGTTTTCCACAGCTCCATTTCTGCTTCAGTCGTCTGTTTCTTCAGAAGATGGCGCAAATCCATCCACAGAAACAAACCAGCATTGCTCTGCAAGCACTTTATGCCAACTTGGCCAAGTCCTCTTGTGAAAAGTCTGTATCTTTTGACAAGCCTGCTCGCGCTCTCTGTGAGAAATCGATCCACAAACTCATCATCAGATAGCATTGACGCAAGAAGATTCTGGGTTTGTGTGGAAACTAATCCAAAGCTGGACATTTTGCGAGCACAGTTCACAACGTCATCATTGTATGAATAAATGATGCCGACTCTAAACCCAGGAACTCCAAGATCCTTTGAAAGGCTGTAAACGATGTGGATGAGGTTTCTGTTACATTCCACGTCTTGTTCCTCTATAATCTCAGCGATGCTTGTGAAACCGGGCTCGGCAAAAACTGTGCCAGCATAGATTTCGTCACATACGAGGTGGATGTTCTTTTCATTGATGAATTTGACCACACTTTTCAATGTTTCACTGTCCATGATAGTCCCCAATGGATTTGAGGGATTAGTAATAAGCAAGCCCTTTATTTTGATGTTATCCTCTGTGGCTTTCTCATACGCATCTTCTAAGGCTTTCGTTGTCAATTTGAAATCGTTTGAACTTTCGCAGACAACGGGGACAAGTTGAAGTCCTGTTCTCCATCTAAGGTCCCTATCAAAACTGTATCATTAAGAAAAAAAATATTATTAAAGTTAGTCAGAGTGGAAAACGTCAATGACTTTTCATTCAAAAAAGGAAGTGGTAGGCCTAGGCCAACCCACTTTAGAATCTTTCATTTAATTATGATAAATTAGAAAGATAAGGTGGAAGGTGGCGCGTAATTATACCCTGGATAATAAGGAGTGGGTACCAAGAAAGCATCTCCAGGATCTGCCAAACAGAAAGCTGTGACTTCGTGTGCTCCAGTTGCCCCACCACTCATAACTATACGATCAGGCTCGAATGTGACTCTGTTTCCTCTTGCTCTTGCCATGAACTTAGCCACAGCCTGTGCATATTAATTCGTTTCCTTGTTAGTTGGCGGAAAATCAGAATCAACTTGTTTCACACTTTAGTTTTTTCTAAATTAATCAAACACTGAATTAGTAAGCTTCTATTTTCACTCACGTTTCTGAACTCTGGCAAGCCATGATAATCCTGAAAGTTAGATATGGCCATGAAATCTCGGACTCCTTCTGGGGTGCAAATACTGGCCTCTGGGTTTTTCGTTACCCACTCTTCAATCACATCAGATGTGAGCTGCCAGAGATGAAAATATATTAGTTTCTGCGTTAAATTAAAACAAGTTTCAACTCATTAATACGTTGTATAAATTCACACATACCTGATTCTCAGCCAGACCCATCTGAATAACCCCATTAAGATTGTCGGAAGGATGAAACGGATTGTTTTCATAAGCCTTCCAGCCATCAAAGTATGGGGAGTGTTCGCCGTGTCCATCACCGATCGCAATCTTCGACAACATCGTATATTGTTCTTCCAAGATCCAAACTAGTTAGAAATGTGTTTGAAGTTAATGAAACCCAAGTCAGAGAGAAAGAGGGTAAGAGAAAGAGAAGGGGCTGTGTGAAGGGACGAAACTAAGAATTGATTACAAAGTGAGTGTGTAGCTTGAACCACAACATCTGCTATGGCCTTCCTTATATGTAGATTGTTCTCCGACAGAATTTACAAAGTCTAAGTGAAGGTTCGTGGGAAAGACGGGTGTCAAACACGTTAGCACTGGCTTGTAATTCCACAGAAGGCTGTTGTGTTGTCAAGTTCCGACCAATGAATCAATGACACTTGTCCTTTGTGGAGGCAACACGTTATTTGTGGCCTCATTTATCCCTCTGTGTTCCATTAAAAATCCTGCTCTGTATCATCCCTTATCGTCATCACTCTGCTGTATCCCACTTTGAGCTGATTCTGTAGACCTCTCTGATTTGATTGCTAACCTTTACGATAACAATGAAGATCGCATAGTTGTGTTTTTTTGTATTAATTATTTGGGCAAGTCTAGCTTCGATGTTTTGCTTGATGAAACATTAGTTGAGTTAAACTAATTTCAAAATACTATTGTCATGCATTTCAGGGACAAATAGACAATTTTTGGGCAAATTATTTCAATGTTCTTGTACTTTTGCTTTCTTAATAAGTAGGTGAGCTCGTGGGGGCAATACTGATGTGTTGCTCAGCTGCTCGCAGGTTGTCACACGGCAATGAATCACCAAGAAAATAATTTTTTTGTTTTTATCTAAGAATTCTGAAATGAGAGATAAGGGATAAAGAGCCGATAGAGTTGAATTTGTAACAGCCAATTCTTACTTTCAATTTTCATGTGCCTTGGTTAGTTAAAGTTCAGAACTTCAAATAGATGGCCGCAAAGAAATATGAGCTTGATAACATAATTAAGCATTTAAGCATGTGATTATCCTTGATAAATGTGCATATATATAATCTGATGGCTTATTCAAAAATATGATACCCTTTTCCACTTCCATGAATCTAGAATTGTTCAATGCAACCGACATGCCTTCTGGCCTGATTTCAGATTTTGTTTCATTAATATACTATCCATATAGATTGCAGAATTTGACTGCATTTCGATTTGGTGCAGTGCCGGGTCCAAACCTTTCAAGACTGCTTCATTTAATCTAATTCACAGCAATGAATATATATGATCAAAGAATAGTACTTTATAGAGATGAAAATGATGAGTTCAGTTGATTACGTATAACGGGTAAAAAAAAGTGCATGATTAACAAGTGGGGGAATAATTGTCAAGTTTCAAACGGGTCAGTGAGAAAATAACATTTCGGGTAAAGCCTTGGTTTTAATTACTCAACCGTTCCATGCCCAAAGTCCAAACCCCAAATTGGACCACCTTTGTCTGGCAATATTCCACACTGAAATAGAGTTTAGACAAGTTTATGTTGAAGGTTGAAAACATCTTTTTGGTCCAAGTTCTTCCCTTTGAAATTCCAACCCCAACGTGCAGCGTAAGTATAGACAGTCAAACACTATCACTTTCTACTTAGCCCGCGAGAATGAAAATTAGCATAAAAACAAAAATATACGCGGAGGCTAGAATTTTTCCCCCTTTTAACTTTTCAGTTTTCATTCCTGCACATGTTTTGACGAGAGGAAAAAAAAAAATAGCGGTGAAAAATTTTTGTGATGTCTTTTCATTTTCACTTGTTCATAAAAAGACATGTCTAGTTCAACGATGTCATGCATGAAGAAGATGATCCTTGCGAGAGCAGAAGTGAAGCTTCATGACACTTTCGCACATTGCGTTATATCGTGGGGGGCGAAAAGTCAATACAATGAATTGATGTTGACTGAAGGGGGGACAACTAAGGAAGTCGTCGAGTTAGACATTGCGAACGAGTATACGCTTCCCTATTGGGTACGTGATATTTTTTTAAAACGAGTTTCAAGTTTCAACTACTACGAATTAATGATAGTTTGACCCCCAAAAAAAAAAAAAAGGAATGTTAGCATTAATGATAGTAAAGAATTGTTGGAAGATGAGACCATGAGCCGGCTCTACCATTTGCATAACAAATGCAATATGTGCAGAATATCTGGTCCCGGCAGCCTCTGTAGTCTTGAACCCAACACTTGACAGGTTCATCTTTGGTTAGCCTGCGAGCATACAAGTTTGACTTTCAGGTTAAAATGGTGAAACCTGAACATGGATTATAGAAAAACCCGCCTCTTCTTACTGTTGACCATCTCAGATTTGTTGATTCAATTATGATCTCAGCAATGGAGCTTCTGAGTATGGCCATGTACTGCTATGTCATGTGGCATGTGTCAGAACTCAGAGACATAATCCTGCAGCCATGGCTGAAGTAGTCGGCATTACTGTGTGCTTTGTTCAAGTTGAAAACAGAACAGCTGATAATAGAAGAATGCAAAAATCCTACCAATTATCAGTTATCACTCCTCCGACTTTTAACCCCACCTACCTAATACGCTTTTTGAAGTTTTAACCATAAGATTACTAAAAGATGGCATTGGATACCCTTTTTTTAATTGTACTTGAATGCTTCTTAGATGGTGTGTCAGCACCACTCTGGCAAAAGTATGATGTGTGCTTACCGAGACTCTTTCTGTGTTCCATCAATTTAATGCTGAACTTGGATCACAATGTCAAAAGGTTATTTTTTGAGCTTAGATATAGATATCCCTGTGTAATACTTCCTCAATATGATAATGAGCTGAGAAAACTGATATCCATAGTGTTTTGCTTATTTCCCTGTTTAGTTTTGGTTGATTTCATTCTTCTGACCGTCTATAATTCCCAGTATATACATAATATCATTCCAGGTGCTCTAGGTTATATTATTGGAAGTGCGTGATCATTTCACAAGAAAAATGAAAGACAGCGACCAGTTCTTGGCAGGTTTTGAAAATTAACTCATTGATAATATTCATTCTCTTGTACCGGAAAAAAAAAATCATTCATTCTTCACGCATGTCATGAGAAGGACAGAACCAGTCATTCAAACCAAATATTATGCAGGCCTGGCGATTTGATCTGTATAAGCAGTAAAACCAAAAATCCTAATCAAGCAACGATTCATAGATTTCATAACAATGTTTATTAAGTATGAACTCTTATTTTCCTTCCAATACTATTTCCAGCTTCTTTTACTTCTTCATCAGAAGGACCACTGTGTGAGCTGCTATGCTTCTATTCTCGCCAAGGCTGTCAACTTTTTCATGAGTCTTCGCTTTGATATTTACCACAGAAGGATCAGCTCCAAGCAGCGCAGATAAGTTGGCCTTGATGGCCTCTTTGTGTGGGCTTAGTTTTGGTCTTTGAAGTATCAATGTTGCGTCCAAATTTCCAATCTCGTAACCTGCTTCATGCATAAGTCTCACCTGTAGAGGACCAGACGACACCAAGATTAGACAAGGCTAAACAAATATCCACGGTAAAACGCTTTCTCTGTCACCAACTTTCGTTGAAGGTAAAGGCATACAGCGAAAACACAGGCTTCATTCTACACCAATCATAATGCACATACAAACTCAACTTCAGCATATTAAACATGCTTGAAGTTACAGTTTTTCACCAAAACAAATGTGAGCAAACGGTGACCGAGAAATGATCATCCGGACACAAAACGATCCTGTGTATTTACCCAAGAAGCCCTGTATCGACAAATACATGATTCTGATCAGCATCCTGACGAGGCACTAACGCACCTCATAAAGTTAAACCCTATATAAATTAACAAAATCCCCCTTTTTTTCAGATTCACACTTGGAAGGATCTGACTTTTATTCGTTAATCTATCTATCTTCCTTTCTGCAAAGATGTTATCTAACTAGCCACGGCAGGGAGCAGGGAAAGCCAGACTGACATCAAGACAAACTGAACAGTAGTACTAAAGGTATAAATGGGGACCAGAAATAAGAAGATTACACCTTTAGAAACTATCAAGCTTTAATTCTACACAACCAACTTGTTGGGATTTACAAAGTCCACGTATTGCCTCCAAAGTCACCATTGAAATACTCTTCCAACTAGAGTCGCGAATAATTTTTGTTAATCTTTTGTTCCAAAAAGACTACGAACACTTGCATGACACGAGGAGGGGGGGGGGGAATCACTGGAGGATCATACGTAGTGTGAGACAGTCATGGAAATAGCATATACTCACAGATTCTTTGATGAAGACAGAGGAGTCACAACCCTTCCACTTCGGATCTGAGTCCGGAAATATCTGCCCTATATCAGGCAGACCAAGAGCCCCCAAGATCGCATCGACCACACAGTGAAGCAGCACATCTCCTACAGCGAACAAGCAACGAAACCAATCATACGTAACAGAACCATTTCGTTAATTTAATTTATTTTTAGGAAACAAATTAAGGAGAATTCAACCCAGATTTTCTAATAAATTTTTATTTGACAAATCCATTCCAAGCTTTCTCAACAACCAGATGGAATAAGCCACAGAAACGAGACTTGAAGATAAAAAGTCAGCGAATCGTAATGTAATTACCATCAGAATGAGCCTCGCACCCTCTTTCGTGAGGCACGTTAATTCCCCCGATAATTAAGGGGTAACCAGGCTCTAGCCGATGGAGATCGAATCCATGACCAACCCGAAAGGGTAAGGGTTTGGAAGGAGTGGCTGAGGGTGGAGATGCATCGACCTCAACGGAGGTGGTCGCAGTCGGCGAAACGGTAGGTGCAGGCGAAGTTGTTGCCCTGATATGAAATTTCCGCGGAACGGAATTGATTTTGATCTGAGCAAAAGAAGACGAGGAGGCATACGAAGTACACGATTTTCCGGCAGTTGTGCTTCTCGTGAAGAGGATAGAAGATGTCGTTAAGGAAGACGCTGCCATGGTCGTTGCCTCTGAGTTTAGCAAAGACTGAAACAAAACGAATGCCTTCAGACAGGTCGGAGGACAACAGAATTCAGGCAGGCTGGCGGATACACTCTGGCTAGCGGCTATGTGGTCTTCGCTCTCCTGTTGTTCAATGTTCGTTGCCGGTGTAGACACTATTCATTGAACGCCTTCAAAATTTCCCCTTTTTCAAATTTGTGTGCATGATTCTCGTTTTGTCCGTTCCTTAATTTTACTTCCTTATATTTTCTCATTTAGATACGTAATTTACAGCCTAGTCAAAATTGACTTGTATGGTGCAGAAGCATATTCCCCTTCGAAGATTTTTCCCTTTGACCAATATCATATAAAAGGATTATTTTTCAGGAAGTTTTGGGACGAGTAAGATTAGACTTTCTTATCATTTTACTATTAATAAATATAACTTTCTCTGGCGTCTTCATTATAAAAATATTTTCGAAGCACTTAGTCTTAGTCATAATTTTCCATTTTTTTCCGCACAACACAGCTTTTGCTCATTCAGCTTATTGCAGATTTAGCCAACCCTAGTTAAAGGTATCCAATAGCTCGATTTGATTATTGGTCTTACCTACAGCCGGAAAAGTGAAGCTACAGGCGGCTAAGTTTCATGATATCCTTCGCCCTCAGGGCATAGCAGCCAGTGACAATTCAGTAAGGGTGAGCAACAAACCCATTACCCGTCAGCCCGCCCGTGGCCCATGAAATTTTTGTCCGTTTAAGCCCGCCCAATTAGCCCAAATAAGGGATTATAAACGGGCGGGCTTAAATGGGTAGGGTAGCACATTAAACGGGTTGGGCTATGGGTAAGGTATTGGGCTGCCTATACCCGCCCGTTTAAGTTTTAATTTTTTTATAAATATTTTTATTCTTCATTTAATTGACAATATTGTTTCTCATTCATTTTTTATCAAACTTTTATGCCTGTCTAAACTTTTATTTTATCCTTTAAGTAGAAGTTGGAACTTTTAAAGTTTATGAGACTTTTTATGATTAGTGACTACTTTTATGATTTTATCAAACTTTGATTGTTTGTGACTCTAAGTGATGTTGTGTTATTGAATATGGTTGATATTATGTGATATTATTTTATATTTGATTTGTTATTTGGTATGTAAAATTTATTGACAGCTTCATAAGGTTACATGTACAAAATAACTATGCTAAAAAAATTACAAAAAAATAGAAAAATAAATGGGTTACCCCGTAACCCGGTCAGCCTAAACGGGCTGTCCCGTAACCCATTTAATACGGGCTAAATGGGCTACTACCGAGTTATGGGTTAGCCCATGCCCGTTTATTCATAAATGGGCGGGCTATGGGTTAACCTTCGGGCTAGCCCACCCCGCCCATTGCTCAGCCCTACAATTCAGCATTAAAAATATGACCCGAGGCTGATAGCTGATTTACATAAACAAGGTCCAGTAAAGACAATAGAGAACTTTGACCCAATTTTTTTTTTTTTATTTAAAAGATGACCAGGTAGAAAGTATTAAAGTTTAAACCATTAGTACCAAAAAGGGAAAAAAAAAAAAAAAAAGATCAGCCAAATCATGGATGCATTCTGTATTATCCTGAACATAATGTGTCCCTTCATCTTTCTATCATTTTTATGTGGACTGGGCGACCGCCGAGGGCAAAATAATGCAGAAGATATTCCGCAGAAAGCATACGCAATCATTTCATTCACACTATATGCCATGTTCATTACGACTTACAAGACCCTCTTTCAAATTACATATTCCAAGCGCGCGCGCGCGCGCACGAGGCTTGGTAGTTTACAAACAAAAAACATGCAAAACTCGTTCTGTGCATACCGGCATTACATATTTAACAATGTAGCTTGCATGAAAGGTTGCTCAGTGTGAATGATCAGGTAGAAAACCTCGGTTGCTTGCATCCATGCTCTGGTGAAAGATTATCTGATGCCGCTCGTTTTGGTTTCAACTGCAGAGAAAATGACCATGAGCAGCTATAAGATCTCTGAAGAGTGAGGAAGTGCGTATGGGTGTGGGCACCGCAACCAGCATCAAAATTATTGAAATTCATGACTAACCTTCTCCTCCGCGTGCTGGTAAATATGTCTTAGAAGGATGTTTTTTGCTTCAGTAGTTATCACTGCCAGATGAATTTTCACATCGTTAGCAAATCCTCAACTCAATAACACTGGTGAGAATGAATGCATGTCTACTCCAACAACCAATACAGGATCAAGACTAATCCTCTCAATCCATGTTTCCCATTTCCCTTTTTAAGTAATATGTCCACACTGTACATTCAGTTTAGATTCTCCCTGTAGGTGATGGAAAGATTTATATTACAGGGACATGTTCTAAGCAGATAGCAATCAAATAGATCCAACAAGGCAGCACTGCAGCCATAGGTAAGAGTAAATTCTCCTCAATCCTCAATACCTTGATCAGGTGGCGGAAGGGTCCTGCTGTGAGTCGGATGGTAAGTAGCAGGTGCCATTTTCTGCATGAAAACAAGATATACTAATAAGGAAGAGAAAGCATAAAATCAGGTTATGAATAACAAGTAGCAACATTTATCAGAAAATTGTCTTAAATATGCTCATTTGAAATGATTTAATCAGATTCTTGGCCTGGGTTTACTTGTTCTAACTTGTTATTTCTTTTCTATTGCCCCAAAAAAAAAAAAGATATAAAATCACTTTCCGAATGATATAAATGCCATTCATCAACTCAAAGCACTGAACAAATTTATCCTACAATCTTTAATTTGCAAATGCTCAGTGCTGACATGCCATGACACCAAGGCAAACAAATTAAAATTCTGGTACTCACTACCACAAATAGACACTTCTTGGCAGTTCCAAGATTCAATATGCTTTCTTTGAAAATCTAAACCACACCATAATATAAGAACCATCCTTGATATTTGTTGTCATGTTATGGAAATGTAAACTCATTCAAATTTCAGAAGGTCCAAGGCAAGTGGAAATGATCCTCCCAGTGGAAGTAAGCAGTACAAGTTTACATGCGGACGGAACAACAAGCTTCACATAGAGAAGTCCACATGAGTTCTACAGTACTCAAGAATGAGTAGTTGACTGTAAACATTTATAACATATATTTTATTTTTAATTTTTGATGAAATATCTAACTTTGTTTTTCATCACGCATTCCCACAAATATGTTTTATCATAAATTTTCACCAACCTGAGATTCAGATAGAGAAATTACTGGCTTTAAATCCGTGTTTAGAAATTTGAGGTGAACCTAAGTGAAGTGCTAGTAATCATTGGCAATACATATGGTTCAGTCTTCACTTTAGTTCATACATGCAACACAACCCCAAAAATCTTCAAAAGGAGGTGGTTGGCAGCTGAAGTGCAATAAGTTACGAGTTCCCTATCACAGGAATCCTAACAGATCCCATGAATACTCTTAGGTTATAGAAACCCACTACGACGTTATAAACTTAATGGATTTAGAGTTGTTTCTTATTTATATAGAAACATAATTATTGAATAGTATGAAGGCCCTCCCATCCAAATAACGGAAACTCAGAAGTATGAAGTAGTTGTATATGCTATAAACTAATTTCACAATATTGCTGCATAACCCACTCCATTAGACTCTGATGACTTTTAAGTACCTAAGCTAAGTGTAGAATTAAATTTCATCAGAAGTCTAGTGAATTAACTTCAGATAAAGATATTGTCTCAATGTCTATCAGGAATTAAAGGATAGAGAGCATACTGAAAATGAAAGAAGAGAGGTAAACAGATCATATCAGGAATACAGCAAAGACAATCAGTTGATGAGGAAGAAGTTTTTTAATACGTGAAGCAAACACTAAAAGACAAGCACATAGCAACAAAGACATCAAAATACAAGGGCACAACATAGCATAGTCATTCTACGATATGAGCACCTATTAGTTGATACAAATAGGTGTTAAAACATGTTAAGAACACATCAAAGAGCTGTCAACACCAAGGGGGGAACTTCTATTCCAGAGGACCATTCCGAAGTTGGGATATCATATTTCATTTCTTCCATTTATTCAGTATCAATTGTTGATCTCAGACACATTTTGGACATGGATGTGGCTCCTTCCTTGAACCGTCCATGCTTCATAGCATGTGGTAAAGAATATAAATTCTAACAACAACATATCCATTCATCATTATATTCCACACTATGAACTTAGACTTTGGGTCGACAACATATATTTTTTTAGTTCAAAATTATAATCCACGGATAGAATGAGTGAATTCAACTAAATCAATGGCTGTAATATTTTAGCAGTCTCTTCTTTAGAGGAAGTGCCGTGTTCAGAGCCAAAGAGAAGAATGCGATTTTACGATAATCATCAGAACTGGGTAAAAAGATAATGAAATAGATTGGGGGAAATTGTAGCACAATGAATACTTATGGTGTTGCTTTCAAAGCGAGAAACAAATAAATAAGAGAACAATCAAAGATCATCCCAAGCTGTGGAAAAGTTTAATTCTAGTATATTGCTTTCGATTAATGTTGCAGCGATATAGAGGAAATTGATTAAAACTAGAAGCAAAAGTGATGGAAAAAGCATCTTCACAATGACAATGCTGCACAGCACACAGCATCGAATGTGAAGAGTTCAATCTCCGTCCAGCGCCCAAAAAAATGCAGCACTAACTATTACAAGCATCCAACTAACAGACTAACACAAGATTTTTCTCCGTGAAATCAAAAGAAACAGATTTGAGAATTCAGAGATCGCATACACAAACACAATCACACTAACGCAGGGACACGGACGCGAGTTAGCTTGGAAAGCCATTTCCGAAGCAATAAGAGTTATGTAGCAGCAGGGTCGGGGGAATTGAGGGGGAAAATATCGAAAGATACAAGATCAGATTTTTCAATGAGCAATGAAGTAGAAAAGTACGGAATTTAAGGAAAAGTTCCTCCTAGAATATGAGATACTCACAGAGGGACTAGAAGGATCGGAAGGTCGGAGCTGACTGAAGTTATGAGGGTCGTATGAAGGCCAATTACCGAGTATAGACCCCATGGAATATTGGGTGTTGCTCGAAATTTCAGAGAAACAGAGAGATTCGCAGTGTCGAGGAGATGAAATGAAAAGCAGAGCGCCACACCCCGGAAGCGATTGTTACACGTAGATACCAGATTGAACTTATTACGTGCACATTTATACATATATAGGCCTCCACTGTTTCTATCCTAAATCCTAACCCCGTCGTAACCCAGTTCCCCTCATCTTACGTTTACTGGAAGGAGAATTATTGTTTTGTTTTTTGTCCTTTTTAATCTGACGGTAATATAATTTTTCGCCGGCTCCTTTTTATAATTATAATTCATGATTTTATGAGTTTTATTGTAGCATATAATTAAGATTTATTGGCAGAAAAATAAAGTTACAAGCGAGATTATTACCAGCGCTTTTCTTTATGTTTTTAGCTTTCACTGCTAAAAGATTATTCTTTGAAAAGTTCTCCCCTTCCGGTGGTAATTGCAAGTAGGACCGAAAGAAGTACAATACTTATCTATGACACTTAGAAAGAAGTACAATACTTATCTATGAGATTCGGACATAAGATGAGGACGAATTTGCAAAATCTCATCGATTGGCTGGTTAAACATAATTATTTACTCATCAGTCTTTAATATAGGACCCATTTAACTAATTTGATTAGATTAAAGAAGTTAGGAAAATTAGTTAATTATAAAAAAAATGACACATTTTTCTTAAAACACCATAATCATCTTTCTCAATATCCTATCTCCCTCTTCTATTTGATTATGGTTGAGGAAGTATCCATAGGAGTAATTTAGAGAAAATTGATAAATATGAGAAATGAGTCTTATATTTAGAACCAAAATCAACTCAAAAATTATGTCCTATATTAAGGATCGGATGAGTATAATTTATGATATGTGTTTAAAATTTGGTGCTAAAATTTTAAAATGATCCTATTCTTTTTCAAGTTTTTATTTTTTATAATAATATATAACTACTGGACCAAACTTAGTTGGGATGCTGGCCAGTGGAATTAAGCTAGACAATTATATATTTAGTGTTAAGTCCTACTTATTTATCCCAATTATAACTTGATTACCAAACAAAGAAATGCATTTGCGTGAATTAATCCAGGATAAAGTTAGTTCTTGTTATTATAAAGAGAAACATATTTGATAAAACAGCGTAAAAATAAAAATAAAATAATTGTTAATTTGATTAAAATATATTCGTTCTACTAAATATAATGATGCTCCCATATCCTCTCATGTTTTTTTTTTTTTGAGCTAAACCATATTTTCTCATGTTAACCTTTTATTTTTTTTTTCAATGCAAACTGAAAGGACACCATGGGTATTTACATCAAAGCTGAACATGATCTGTACTATTCTATTTTTTTTTCCCCGATAGATTGAGCTGTACTATTCTAGATTGTATATAAAATCACTTTTCTATATATTTTATATTAATATGGGTGATTATACCTAAACAAATTATATGTAAAATGTTTTTTAATATAAATATAGAATATTGGAGAAAACTAATGCAATAATAGGAATAATAGTAATAACAAGAATAATTTTAATAGCATTGGCTTTTTTTGGTAAAATTTGACCGTATAAGAATATTTAAATTTAAATTTAATTTTTTATAAATAAAATTTTAAGTAAGTTGAATATACTTCCGGGGTCAAGATTTAAAAATTAATTAGCTTTCTTCCATAAACTCTGGCAAAATTTAATTTGTTTTATCGTGAGCGGGAATAAAGATCCAAGTGATTGTATTGGGCTGGACTCCGACTCAGGCTCAGAAACAGTTCTGTTGTTTTTGAGCTGATATGTGGGGGTGGACCCAGCCCACCTAGAATAATTTCCCAATGTGTCGCACTGTGTTGCTCTTTTTTGGGCCCCAGTTAACAAATGTGATCCAAAAAGATTTTTCGCAAAAGTAATTGCCAAATAAGATCAATCGTATCCATTCGTTAAAATATCAACGGCAGATCGTGAGAGGTCTACCTACGGCCAATGGACCCGTTGATATTCTATTATTCTTCCTGAAAACCCTAGCATGGGGAGCACAGGATTCTACTTCCTATTTTTTTAGTTTCTTCTACCCTCTAGACGCCTCGTGTTCGAACATTCCCAGAGAACTTGTAAGGAAAAACAGTCGAATCAGGCGGCATACGAAGGAAGAGCAGCAACATAGCCAAAAGCCATGGCGGCACCTGAATCTCCTGTATGTTATGTTGGTGTCGCCAGGCAGTCTGCGGCTTTCCGCCTCATGAAGCAAATGGTGCCTCTCTTTGTCTGTTTTATGATATTATTTTGGATTTATTCTTTTAGCTTGTTAGGTTTGATTAGCTGTTTTCTTACATTCTAGGGCTGGGAAGAAGGAGAAGGTCTAGGCAAAGACAAGCAGGGGATCAAAGGACATGTTAGAGTCCAAAACAAGCAGGATACTGTTGGTTTGTTTTTGATAACTTCCTCAATGATTATTTCTTACATTCTGTGCTGCTGGTTTATTCCAACTTCCTGTGCCACCTATGGGTCGATCAACGAACAATGAATTGAGTTGATCGTTGGCATGGTTTAACGTTCTAATTTTCTTGACAGGTATTGGTGTCGAGAAGCCAAACAACTGGGCATTTGACACTACGCAATTTGATAATATTCTTAAGAGGTTGAAAGTGGTATGTTGCGCTTGACACTTATTTCTTCATTAGTGATTTGATCAATCATTGTACCACGAGTCACTGAAGCTCTATTTTTAATGTGTATGCATAATTTGAAGCAAGCAGTGCAATCCAGTGATACAGGTACAGCTTTATACCGTACTGCAATAGCTACTAGCAAGTTTATCTCTTTTTTCGCATTGTATCATGATATGCCAGCATATGTAATGTTACAGGCGTAGAGAAAAAAACCACTAAGGTGGAAACTGAGACTACTGCCGTTGGTGATCATCCTGATACAGTTTCTAAAGCTACTAGACCTCAAGGAAGGTCTGTGTATTTTCCTTTAAACTTGCAAAATTTTATATTAGCTTGCTCTTCTAATTAACCATTAGTCGTCATTAAAGTATTATTGCACTGCCTGATTTTTAGATACAAGAGAAGAGAGAGGGGGAAGCTTGTTTCTGAATATTCTCTGATGGATCTTGAAGGAATACTTGTGAGTTCTAAACATAGATAAGCCATTCATTGTAAAGATATGAATTTTTGAGTTTAGAATCTGTTTCAATTGCTTTCAGTTGCTTCGGTTCGCAGAGGAGATGTTGCATTGCCACAATTTGGTCCAATGAATGTTGAATATCTTTTTCAAGCGAATTTTATAGTGGCTTATTCTTTTGGTAAAAAAAAAAAAAACAGTGGCTAATTCTTTTTGATTCTGTAAATTCATGGAAATAGTGAAATCAGTATGATATGCTTATATTCCATCTGTAATCAGATGCTTCGTTCACCAAAGCCGCTTAAAATCGAGAAAATGACATTGGTTTCTGATGCCTTTTTTTGTGGGCCAAACCAAACCATATCGTGGCATTTTAGTTACTAAACTCGGTGGTTTCTGGAATGTTGGATCAATCAATCATCTTTCCCTCATTGACTTTTAGTGATCATCTTTAACTTTCTGAGGCTCCCCCCCCCCTTCCTCTTTTCGCTTGATTTAAACTAGGCACTGTGTATTTACTTCTGCTATATGTGTGGCAGGTTAAAAAAGGTGAAGTGTCAAAATGCAATGATGATTCTGATGGTGAGCTGGAAGCGTCAAAGACATCTGACAGTCAGTGTTTTCAAGTAGAAGGTATAATCAGCGGTTGCTGTAAAATCATTTTACTACTGAAATTATTAAATTATTAATTCTTATGTCACATATGTCGTTGTGCTTACATTTGTATAATTCGCTGGCTGGCATGAAAAACCTCATATTTTCATGTTTTCTTCAGGCTATTTTGAAATAAGTGAATTTTTTACATTTGAAATTTTTAGCTATGCTGGGTGTTTGCCTGTACACATATGCACACTCACGCTCATGTTTGGGTGGGTTTAGAATGGGTCTGATCATGTACACCCACCGTCTTTGTGTTATATTTTTAGGCCATATATTGTACTGATGAGCTTCTCATATAGATTGTTTACCCTGACAATAAAGCTTCTTCCCAAGACGGGAAAAAAAGGCTTCTTCTGAGTAGAATTGACAAATGGTTTCGTATATATTTGTGGAACTTTTAAACTTAGTCAGAAGAAGTTTCTCCATTTTTGAAATTTTAGGTATCAATTTGTTCATGCAAGGAAAACTTGACCATGAAGTAAGTAGCACTGATTGTACATTCTCCCATCTATATTCTGTTTAGGTATTTCTTGGCAATACACTTGCACTTTGCATTGCTTTCCCATTCTCTGCATTTATTAAATATATCTGTTGTTCAAATTTGATGCTTATCTGAATCTACTCTATGTTATTAAATGGTGTTTCCAGGATGCTCTTAACCGTGAATTTTTTTTTTCCCAATAGCGCATTTTGTTTTTCTGATGTAATATGTAAGGGGTTTCGGAAAAAGATGTATTTCTGTTTAGTTCTCAATTAGTTGATATTTCATGGGTACAGAAATCAAAGTTTGCGATATCCCTCCAGATTGGTGGGGCCACAAGTTTGGATTTGTCTCTGGGGGTCTTCTTGGAGCAGAGTCAAGAAGGAAAAGGGTTTGCGTATCTGAAACCACTAATAGTACTGAAAGAACTGCATTTCATGAAGATGATCAAGAGAAGCTCTACAAGCTGGTCCAAGTATGGATGTTATCTTGCCATCTTGTTTGCTTGCTTGCTATATACTACCTCCGGATAAGACCTCGTTTGTAGATTACAAACGAAGTCTTATAATTACAACCACTACAAACGAGGTTTTATAATTACGAACGGAGGTAGTATTATTTTTATTGAGGCCCGATTGATTTCTGATTTCCAGTGTTCTAGCATAAATTAAGCAGCCAAACATAAAGATTCTAATAGTTGATGTCGAATGATTATACATTGACAGGACAAATCCACAACTGGAAAGCAAGGACTGGGGATCAAAGACAGGCCCAAGAAAGTTGCTGGCTGCTTCTTTGAGGGCAAAAAGACCACATTTAATGACAGTGATGATGATGATTCTGCTGATATAGTTTCCCAAGAAAAACAATATGGTGACATAATTAAGGAAGAAAAGACTGATGGATCCAGAGTGAAGTTGAAAAAGCTTTGTAAACAGATTTTACAGAGGGTGAGATCTATTTCTGGTTTTGAAATATTTTTTTTTTAAATGTGAAAACCACCTTATCTGATTAAGGGCTTAATTCCAGGTGCGTGGAGAATCATTGAAACTGAAACAACTTAAAGTTCTTATTGATGAACATTCATCTTCTGTTTTCTCTGATTTCTCTTCCAAGAAAGACGCAGTTGCCTACTTGAAGCAAAAGGTATATTTGTCTAATCGTAGGTACTATTGCGCCATTCTATTGCCTTTCATCTGGGAGGGAATGCGATTACTCATCTTTCTTCCTGTTTTGATTTATTAAATTTGTGAAAGGGTGCATTTGGGATTATTTCTGTTACAAGTTTTTCGACTAAATCTTTTTGAGACGTAATTATTTAATGCTGGATGCTTTATTGAGCTTGATAGCTACTGATGCGTCCTGGATGTGTCTGATTTAAAGCATACCGGTATATTTGTGATTGTACTTGGCTCCTATCACGAATGTGCGATTGCAAGTGCATTCGCAATTGTTATTTCATGTTTTATCTGCCAGGCTATTACTTATGGTTTATAATTCCATTTGCAGCTGGAAGGGAGTAAAAGTTTTGTATTGAAGGGAGAAGAGTGAGATTGGCATCTAAGAGATGCTGAATGTTCAATTTTGCGAAATACTGATACCTTTTTGGCGGCCTATTATTCTCATTTTTTTTGGGCGGGGGCGGAGCGGATTTGGAATTGGGTGGTTAAGCCTATGTCCATGCCACATTGTTTGTAGGTTGCAGCCAGGAGATTAAATTTTGTTACCGTATCCGTGTGAGAGAAGGATGTATTAGATTAATGATTACCTTAATAAATCATTTCCGTGTATTTATTGTTTCCCTAGCTCCAAAATCTTTCAACTTCTTGTATTTCTTAGAATACGTATTGTGGTGATCAATAGCACGCTTGTGTTCGTTTGGATATTTCGATGTGATCAATATCGTTTGGGCTTCTTCCTAAGAACTAAATCATTAACAGATGATAACATTATTAGCACCTGGAAAGTCAGTGACAGAATCCGTTACTGTCAGTAAAATTGACAGTAACGGATTCTAGGTGCACTGTATAATCGGCTGAAATGTTATCTGGGCTATGGTATTATAATTAATACTCATTTAGTTTTTAATGTAAGATCTATTTAATTAATTTGATTAGATTAAAGAAATTAAGTTAGTTAGTTAATTATAAGAGATATGATATACTCTTCTGGTACTTAATATAAGATCTATTTAATTAATTTGATTAGATTAAAAAAGTTAGGTATATTAGTTAATTACAAGAAATATGATATGTTTTTTCTAAAATATCATAATCATTTTTTTTAATACATCCTCTTCTTCTTTTACTTGATCATGATTGAAAGAGTATTCATAGGGGTAATTTAGAGAAAATTGATAAATATGAGAAATGAGTCTTATATTTAGAATCAAAACTAACTCAATAATTATGTCCTATATTAAGGACTAGAGGAATATATATATTTTTAATAAAATTATAATTTTTGATATCCTCTCTCGTCTACTTGATTATGGTTGATGTAGTATCAATAAGATTAATTTAAGAAAAATTAATAAATATGAAAAATATATCTTAAATTGATCAATTCAACAATTAGATGTTATATTAAGAACTAAAAGGAGTATTTCATTTCCTATGTTTTTGTCTTGTCTTTTTTGGTTATCAACATGAGATTCAGGTACAGTACAATCATATATAATCAGACTGTACTATCTTTTTGGCCAGGTACTTCCCCAAAAAGTCGTATCCATGAAAGTGCAAGGCCTCGATTTCGGCTCTCCTGCCGCGCTGAACCATTAAAGCCAATTCTTCCCTGTAATTCACCTGCTGAACATGGCTTTGTAAATGGGCATACCAAAACAAAAAAAAGCTTTGTAAATGGACCACTCCCCCTTGGGTAATGAGAAGCTTACGTTTCACCGTTTTCATCTCGATGAAGCCCATTTATGGTTTTTAAGTAGTCCGAGAATGTTTCCTCAGACCCTTTATGAGGATAACCAGTGACATACGACGAGTGACATTAGCTGCTGGACAATTTACCTGCAAGATTTCTGAGGACATCAAGCTTTTAGCAATTTGCAAGTCCTTTGGCTTAAATGGAACCAGAGATTGTTCAGGCAGCATGTGTAAATCATTCGCTCGCAATCCCAACCACTTCACGTTGCAAGCTATATATGCAAATAAACAGAGTTCCGTGAACAAAAATAAATAATTAAGCAGTCTCATTACACCATACAACGGCAAGAATGCATTGCGGCAAAGGAACCTCATGTTACCATATCTGTACGCCTCTAGGCCCATTCCTACGCTCCCAAATTTGAAGGTGCATAGAATGGCTAATCCAGCCGGATTCCTTTCACAATTCATGAGGGGCATGGAGATGGCAATAAGCAGCAAACATAGGAAAAGAGGAAGGGGTGTTGGGAGAAAGTCGTCTTTCATTATAACCTCTAAACAATATCCGTAATTCCGATCCTCAGGATAAAAAAGAAGCAATCATACCAGTCTACCAAAGCTAGAATTGGCAAATCAGGAAAAGCTAGGCTGAGTCGATGAAGAAGAAATCTGTATTTGAACTACAGAATTTTAGGCGCTAATGCAGTAGCTAACTTGAGTGGTCGTATCGGTGCATTACGATAAAAGCATCTGCGGTACCTAGTAGCGATATCCGGGTAACCTTTGGCAGTGACAAGAATGCTTGGAATTTGATGAAAAATACGATCCTCTGCAAGCCGCTGAAATATCGCATGCTGAACAGAAACAAACCAACTATAAGTATTACAGTAAAATAGACTATTTTTCCATGGAAAACTTTTTATGAGGAATGTGAATTAAGCGAAGTGCCTATCAGAAACTTACCTTCTCTACAACTATAAGGTACCGTGCATCCGTCTTTAAAACCAAGTTCTGTAACAAATTCAGGTCACCGGAAATCGCATGTCCTGAAGATCCAGATACAGAGCAATCCACAGTCTCTTTGCCTGGTTCCTACACAGTATAAATATATAACGAAAATATGGAGCCAGCGAATAGCTTTTGCGGTGGCATCGAACATTGACGCAAAACCTTCCATCACTTACTGTATAATAGCCTTATTTCACTCTAACGTGGAAAACACAAATTCGTAAGCGAACGGGTGGCTATATCATATGATACCTGCAAAATCAGGCGGCCTGCTATGAGTCCTCGACTCGATGCCATGATTCCAAGACTGTATCGGCTGCACCGAAGCAATGCTACAACATCTGCTTGGGGCATATTCATGCAAACATTTCCAACTGTAAAAAGATCGAGAGATTGGATCTTGAATCAAAAATTCAATTTAGTGATTGATTACCTTGGATTGACCTGTTGACATCCGTTTGAGAGGGGAAAAGATCTGGCGAATCACAAAGCAACTTGTAGTAAAGCTCCCTCTGGGTTACACGCTTTTCCTGAAGCAATATCTGATAGCACATTTCCATTACCTTCCACACTATAAAGACAGTAATCAGTAGAAAATTTATAAAACACATCAATACTTAATCGATATAAGAAGTTTTCCAAAAGAAAACCGGATCGAAGGAAAAGTAGATATCGTACCCCTAACGAAGGCCCTTACTGCGTTAGATCTCATCAAAGACCTTGTAGAAACGGAATGGGAGAGGAATATTGATGATAATTCTGTCAACACGCCATGACTTGCTCTGCTATTACTCGGCTTTCTCTCGATCTGTCCATTTGTTTCAGCCATTCAGAAGACTGTGCTAACATTAGCGATATATTTGTTTGGCTAGTGAGGAAGCAAGCGTTGGCATCAAGAGAGAGGAAGCAAGAGAACTATGAACAAGAAAACACGGAATTTAAGGAAACATAACTTCCAAATCCTTAAGTGGAAACTTGGATAAGGTGTGTATGTATTGAGCCATATTGTAATTTTTCACTCCATTTCCAATTCAAAAAACCAAGAGAATAAACAGTTTCATATGATTAAAAATTGAGACACTGATCGGAGCATCGACAAGGATAGAAACAACTTCGCCAAGAAGGCATAGTGACCGTATTACCAGAGGCAAATCTGAGATAGCAGGATTAGACGCATTCAATATTTTGAGAAAATTGAGCACTGATACTTCGATTCTTGCTAGGGCCTGGATCAACCGGAACTCGGTCATTCACTCATTTGTACCTCTTAAAAAGGTTAAAAAAAAACAAATAGCACTAATGATAGGTGACGAAGATTATTACCTGAGCAGGAGAGAGGATATCCGCGTAGCAGAGCTCTTGATCGGAGAAGAACCTCAACGTCGAGCTCCGAAGATCTTCCATACTTTCCGTTTTCACAGAATTCTGAACTCTGCGATCATAATGTAATTGGCGCGAAAAGCCACAAATGTAATGTGTAAAGCGACCGCGGTAGTAGTTAAGGCATCTAAACGACGACGTTTATTCTTTTGAGCAGAGACTCCTCCCGTACGCATCTCCACCAAAGTAATTTTTATAACTAATTGATTTTTTTATTCGTGGAGAAAATATTACTGATCATGAATTTGAAATTGAACGAGGTATCTTATGTATAACATTAGAAGAAAAAAATTAATATATCTAGACAAATATATAAGTATTGGCTATTTGGTTATTAAAAATAAAAATCATAGGGGGCTTGTACAACTCTTCATAAAATGTATGGCTATTAGTCTAGTTAATACTACCTCTATTTTTTAATACAAGAGTTTGTTTGACTTTCAATTTAGTTTTAAATATAATATTTTGATACACTTTGTCTTTAATAATTATTTATTTTTTTTCAAAGGAGTCCTTGTAGTAACTACACATATTAAAAGTTTCATCAAATGGTAATTTTAACTAATATACATGATTAATAAGGATATTTTAGAAAAAATAACATCTATTTATAATAAATAATTAATTTAACTAACTTTCTTAATCTTTCTAAATTAGTTAACTAGGTCTTATAATAAGGACCGGAAGTAGTACTATCTTTGATTTTAAATCAAAGACCTCATCTGGCCAAAAAAAAGACCTCGTACTCAGTTGAGTAAACGAATCTATTTGCATATCCATAACTTTTGTATAATATGATTGATGATTGATTGATCACATTAATTGATATATTATTGATTAGAATCCAAAGTAAACTGTATGTAATTATTGTGATAGAAACGCTATTATATCCACAAGTCATAAATAAAATGATTTTAAAAAATCTTAAACTGAATTAATTTTTTATTAAAACACAACAATTTTTTAACTTTATCTCTATTTAAAAGATACACTTTAAAAAATATATATATACCTTATTTATAGTATGTTCATACTAAAATTTTAATTAAATGACTTATAAGTAGAAATAAAAGAAACATTCTCTCTTTTTCTTATAAATAGGATCAAAGAAGTACATCTGTACACATAACTTTGATTTGAGTATAAACTACTAATAAGGTATAGTATTAATTAAATAAAATCATCAAAAGGCATATATACTTTCAATATCTTAAGTCAAAGTATGAAATTTATAGATTATTTATATGTTTTTTTATTTTAATCAGGCTTTATTTGATGTGAGATTTTCTCTCCTTATTCTCATACACACACACCAGCTATAAATCTAGTTTGATGGAAGGGTAAGAAAAGAAAGAAATCAATAGAGAGAAGCCCACCAACTTTCCGTCTACAGAACTGCAACTTGCAAAACTAGGAAATATAATAAATCAACGTGAACAATCATCATCTACTCCATCATATCTTACACTGAAGTCGTTTTCGTGTAGGAAGTTGCTATTTTCTTTTTTACTATTATTTCATACTTGCAAGAGAGGCTGTTTCCAGCACAAAGAATTGAAAAAACGAATATAGACAAAAACTTTGAACCAATTCCCAGAAACAACTGCATATACCTCCTTACACGCAGAAAAGATCCGTGCGGCATACGTGCCGGTGCCCCGTATATTATGGGCCAAAAGTTTCAATCCTCGAATTCGTCCCCGGTTTTCCAGACCCTGACTTATTACCCCCCCCCCCCGGGGGGAGAATACATATTGGATTTCTAACGTTTTGATCGTAATGATTGGTCCCTTGGTCCCAAAAGTCCATTTTGTTTCCTTGCGTTTCACGAAACAATATTTCAAGCTTCCCCTTGCTATACGTTTCTGTTCGTTTTTCCATCTCGAACAGTCACGGGCCACGTATGACGTATTTATCCCTCCCTCATACCCAGCATTTTTATGTATGTAAGGGATCTTAATATTTCTGGGTATGACCATATCAAACTAATATAATGTCGACTGCTTCACTTGAATTAGCACACCATTGTGATCCTGAAGTAGCGTGTTTGTTAAAATTCTCAGAATTGCGCAAAATTTCGCAGTACTACTCAGATGAACTTAAATTCTTCTCGTCTCAAAGTTTGAGTTTTTGACTTTGATTCGAGCAATGGAAGAGGGTCAGTCAAAGTTTGATAATTATATTGTTACCCAGAATATGGACCATAGAGCTAGTTATGAAGCTAACCCTAAACGTGGAAGTAATGGCTGGGATGCTGCCGAGAGCCAAATAGGCGTGATGTGTCATGACTGACCCTAACCCCACAATCATCCAACAGTGTCTTTTTCTGCTTTCTAGTTTTAAGAGTCACTTCGTTAACTATATTGTATTCATGGAACTTAAAATAATGTCAACTTTTCCAGTTCATTTACTATAATATAGTTTAATAAGCCACACTCAACCCCAAGTGTGGGTTAGACTTTTTCCTAAGGTGTTTAGACAAAAACAAAATCATAGTTTTAAGAGTATTTTTACGGTATACGAAGTAAATATATAGAAGAGTTTGTCTCAACTTGTGAAAAAATGCTTTTTAAAAATGATTATTGAGCAATCCAAACACCCTCTGAGTTCAAGTCCTCAAAAAGTATACCAATTGTAACTTTCTGAATGGCTAGATTCAATTCATCATTGTCTTATTCACTCACGCACCGATTTCTGAAAATATCGGTGCCCACTTGCACCCCCCTTTGACTTTTATCATTTGTCAACTCATGTGGGAATGCGGTTTAAATTTTGGACTTTGAATCAAAGAACAGAGATTCAAATCCACTATTTCGGGTTCAAAGCTTATCCTTCTTGTTTTTAATATATATAACCTAACATCGATTCGCATTTCTCTTCAACTCTAAGCTCCTTTTGTATAATGAAGATCTGACTCTCACATCAGAGTCAGCAAAAGCCTACGCCTGTTTCTGCTATTTCCTCCGTGGATGAACTTGCGTGCTGGATGGACTGGGATTTGCAAGCTGTTGTGAGAGGGCACACCGGTGAAGCCCCAGAAACAACGACGATCATAGATATCACACATCCTAATTTTCCTCATTTCTGTTCTGAATTACAAGTTCACGATGATCCTTTCCGCAGTACTTTTCCAGAATTCTCAGATACCACGATGGTGCTTGATGAATTGGGAGAGCTTTACAAGCCTTTCTATCCTGTTTTACAGCCTCTTTCAACACAAACAATCACAACGACTTCCGTACCCATCCCTAAACAAGTCAAACCATCAGAGGAAGCACAAGATTTGCACGAATCTCCAAGCAGAAGAAGGTGAGAATATGTTCAGGTAGATTATTAAATATTTCATTCTATAACCCAATAGACTTAACTCATATGACATGTTAATACATGCACATCGGTTTTGAAAGGGATTAACTAACTGTTTATGTTTATTTTCTGGTTTGATTTCAGCAAGAAGAACCAGAACAAGAGAATAGTGAAGCAGGTGAGAGCAGATGGATTATGCGACGCATGGGCATGGCGTAAATACGGGCAGAAACCGATCAAGGGATCGCCATATCCCAGAAGCTATTACAGATGCAGCAGCTCCAAAGGATGCTTGGCGAGGAAACAAGTGGAAAGGAGCCATTTGGATCCTGAAGTTTTCATAGTGACTTATACTGCAGAACACAGTGATCATCACCCACCTCGCTCCTCTCGCAAAACTAGGCACTCCAATATTCCACCTGAAACTACACAACACACGTCTTCTCCTTTGGAAGACTCCATTGAAGAAGATGAGCCAATTGTGTCCAGTGGGTCAAGCCAGCGCTTGAACAAAGATGCTGACATTGGTCAGATTGTCACAGATCAGAATATATTAACCAATGGTGATTGGTTTCCAAGTATAGACGAACTTGACGGGCTTAGCCAAGAATTTGCATTAGATGGTTACCTTTACGGCCAATCCTGAGACGTAGTCAATGGGGCTCCTTGACCCCCAACTACCCCTAATTAAAGCTACCATTTTTCTTGTAATATAACTCCCCGTCCACCCCTTTATAATTTCAATTCATTTTCTTGCCATTTATCTGGTCTTGTGTATGTAGTATTACTTTATTTTTCTTAACTTCAATCCGATAATTGGAAGATTCAAATACAAGCGGTACTATTTCTTGTGGTACAGTAAATTACAGAAAACAAGTTAACGTTTACATTTTATATATACTCGGGGTTTCTCAAATGCCAACAACATTGCCATAAAAAGAAATGACTTTAACTAATCATTCCATGATTAAATATTATAATAATATAATCACGCATGGCTACAGACAGATTAAAATTTGATCTGGCTATCGCATTTGATTAGTTATATCCTTTCCGTAACGTCCACGGTTCCTAATAATTCAGCAATTTTAACTTAACCATTTGATAGCTATGATTAATTTTATGGGGTTGTATATATAAATAATGTTTTGTACTTTTTCAAGAGTTTTGGGTGCAAAAAGTTTATTTAAAAAACCCACGATTTTATGTGGATTAGAATGAAACGTCGATTCTGAAAACTTCGTTAGCAAGTGGGGTTTTCACAAGTGGGAGTTTCTTTTCATACAATGACGAAATGAAAATGGGCCCTCTATCCGCATCGACTCCCCAACCGCAAGCCTTCCAACTGAAAGGGAAAGTGACATCTGTAATCTATTATGTGTCTGTTTAGGATAGCAGTAGAAATTCTTTATAAGCACGTCTTACGTAAGTTGAGATAAAACTCTTCTCATATACTTGCCTCGTATTCCGTAAATTATTATTGAAAAGGTTCTTATAAACTACTTATAAGCTGTTCCAAACGTGTATTAATATATATTCCATGATTACGGGAACAGTATATCCATCTCCAAGAACTATTTCCATATCATTTATATGGACCTCAATTAGATTTTTGCTCACTTCCTTTCATGTGAAACCGAGTTCTACAGTAAGAAAATGCGTTCAATAGTATTCTGAAAAGTTGTGCATCTTGAATAACATAGCCAAGCACTGGAACTGGAGTCAAAAATACCACCAATTCAGCACCAACGTACACAACACTAATTAGCTTGATGATCAATCAAGCACAAGCATTTCTTCTCGCAAATGATTTAAATACTAATTAAACAACTGACTGAGACTCCATTATTTATATGTATGTGAAGAGGGATGATTATTACAAGTATAAGATATCGACTTAAATTAATGACGTACCGTAGATGTATGGAATTATACAATCACAGTGATGATGTTGTAAATAGACTAAATCTAATTAAGCCATAGCCTCGGTGGCATTCTTGTTGTGGTCAATTAATAATGTGCGGAGTTGCTATTCTGTGCAGGGAGCAAAGCAGCGAGGGAAGACACAAAAGCAGCATTCATGTAAGTGGTAGGTTCGGAGTGAGAATAGTCGGATCGGACATCATTAAATTGGTCATTGGAATCGGGGCCTCCAACAATGGCACCCACGAGAATGTTGGGATTCGGATTTGTGGAAGAGTAATAGTCGGATTGGCCATCATTACAACCCACCTTGGCTGGATGATCTTTAATTGAAGGGATGGACGATCCTCTGTGATGAATGTGCCTTGGATACTTGCTCCCAAATCCCACCATGTACGACATCTTCATTGGATTGTTTCCTAGTATGTAGTCCACCTGTCGGCCACGTTATTTATAAGCCATATATATATAAGTTAATTATAACATGTCTCTACATCAAACATTATTATTTGTTGCGTTATGACAAGATTATGACCTTCATATAGTCAATACATTAGTTCCACACAGTGATCAACAAAAGCAGACCATTTCTTTGATCCTCTGGAAACATAATACTACCTCTTGTCCTAATTATAAGAGCTAGTTGACTAATTTGAAAAAACTAAAAAAGTAAGTTGAGTTAGTTATTTGTTCTAAATAAGTATTGTCTTACCTAAAACATCCTTGCTAATCAAGTGTATTGGCTAGAACTGTTATTGTTATAAGGAGTACTTTGAAAAAAAATATATAAATATAAGAGATAAAGTGGATTGGGATCTTATATTTAGGACCAAAATAAAATCAAATAAAGTCTTATATTAAGGACCGGAGGTAGTATTATTCTTCTTTGTTTCGAATCATTATTTATACACATGTTGCTTTTGAAAAATCATTCAATATATTATTGAACTGTTACACTTTTTTTAAGAGCAGATGAATCAATTCCAATTCCAACTCTTTCTCAAACCATGTGTAAAATTCTTCTATTTTCTTTTCTAACAAAAAGGTTACAACATATCACTTCATGTAGAGCCAACGAAGATAACTAATTATAGAGTCAACAAATCTCACCTGTGTCTTTGCAAAGGCTGTAATTTGGGAGGCTGTAAAATGCGTGGAGCCACATTGGATCCCATCAATATGATTGCTTTTGAGGATGTTGGAGAATGTAAAAAGCACCGTGGTCAAGCTTGTAACATATTGTAAGTTACTACTGTCCCTTACATATAGAAGCCCACCTGTGAACAATAATAACACAGCTCACACTTCAGTTCCGCCAGTACCTTCTAAAATATAAATAATTAATGTTAAATTCATTACCAGGCGTGGTCTTTATCTGCTGAGAGTTACTTCCTGGCATTACTGAGCAGATAAATGACTCTAGGTTACTCCTAAACTGGGCCAACTGATCCTTCTTCTCGCCATAGAATTCCTGGAAATATTGGAAGAAGAAATTGCATATAAAAATGATTTTTCTGAATTTGATATTGAAATATATGAGAAGTTATATATCGTAAGTAGTATACGTGTGCTAGTAATGTCTGAGCTCCAACAAATTTGTTATCCCAACTGAACTCAGATGCCACCTGGCTCGAACCTTGGTTGCTTAATATGTAGTCCATGTACTTGCTTTCTCCACTGGCCTTGTATAGCCAAGAGGCAGCCCACAATAGTTCATCCTTGTAAACAATTCAGTAGACAATAATCATAAAACATGCCCTCTAATATAAATTATCGATGCACCATTATGTCTCGAAAATACCATGATTGCACTGGTTGAACTTTATGTTCTGTATTTTTTATTTACGTACCTGGTAGCCTGAGTACGAACAGTAAAAAGGGCAAGATTGTGAGTATGAACCTCTGTATTTGTCCGCAAAATCAAACAGCTGAAAAACATTGTAATTAAAAAGGGTTAGATTCTGGGCCGTTTGGTTGCCAAAGTCAAGGCTTAAATTTATGGGAATGATTCTCTATTTTAGTACGATGTCTCGGTTGCATATTTATTTGGCATCATCATTCCCATGAAAAGCTCAAAACCACAAATGTGGGAATCAACACAACCATGACAAACTTCATGAATCATGACTCCCAAATCTAAGAGTTTTCATGTGAACTTGATTATCCTTTCTACCTTTTGAACACAGTTAACCTTATCCCCCTCCCCGTTTTAGTTAGTCACTTCATTTTTTTGTTTATATTTCTCCCAAGGTGCTCATCATTAATCATGAATGAACTTGAAGAGATTGATCAATAGCTGCTTACTGATTTTGATTGGTTCAATAGCCTTGAGGAATAATTGCTATCTACTTTCTGGAAAACAATTGAAGCAGCAGAAAGAGCAGCAGCAGATTCAGCTGCAACTTCACTTCCGGGAGAATTAGCATCAATCTTGTAAAGCGTTCTAGGTGTGTCCATGTCCTCCGGACGCTCCCAACATTGATGATCCGCGTTCCCATCTCCCACCTATCGTATAGATACATGTTATATATGATGTTAATATACAAGAAACTCATGCAGCATATAAATAGAATTTTCATTTACACACAAATAGTTCAGTTCATTTATGCAGTGTTAGGCGTAATTTATATATCTCATTTCTTTCGTGTACGCATCATGGATCATTGGCGTTATTTTGTTGCATTCTCTCTCATTCATTGAACACTCTTCCTGCGTACGTGTTAAAGATGCCATGAAAGCCATTTAGTCACGACATTAGAGAATTAAAAGAGACCTGGGTGAAGAGAGTAGTTGGAGAAGAGTGAGCTAGCAGTATGAAATCTGAACCCCAGCGAATAGCAGATTGGAGGTAATGGGTCTGATTCACTGAAGCTATACCACTCTGGTACTCAATAGCAGCCCAACTCAATAAGCTGACTGAGAAAGACATAGGCCATACGAACTTCACATTGTCACCGGCATCATAGTATCCTCCGACCAAGTTCACCTATTAACATGAAACATAATTCAATGAAACACGCACATAAAAAAAATGATAAAACGAATCCTAAATTACAAAAGGAATGTTACATTTTCGAGTTTGCCATCAGAGAGAGCAGAATCTCCCCTCCACTTCATTCTCTGGGAGGAGGGTAACTTCCCAGAGCGTTGTCCTTCGAAAAACAAAATGGCTTTGCCAATAGCATCTCCATAGTCATAGGTATCTGAGGAGTTTCTATTCCTTTCATCCAACATGGCTGCTCCATTAATGTGAACAAACAAGGCACACAACACCAGACACCAGACCAACCTATAGTACTCCATGATTCTGTGTCTGCGACTTTAAGGTTAATTCTGCTAAACTTGCTGAGAATGTTATGTGTATATATAGACATTGGAATGGACATGGAGGTGCATGCATGTGAGAAGTTGATGGAGTGGAGATAGCGTCACGTGTAATAGTAAGTACAGGAGAAGGCGGCGGTAATGGAGTGAAGCTCCAATACGATTCATGCACACAATCTTCGGAACCCACTCCGGAAACGTCACACTGAGTTCCGTGTTTGGGGTGACTTCTGCATAATGTAGATTTCTTTCGTAGTAATAGTAATAAAGATGGTCTTAATTTGGTTATTGTTAGTTATAGTTTGGTCGCTTTTTTTTTTCTCTCTATTTTTTCGGACGAGTTTGGTCACAGTTCAAAATTAAAGAAACATTAAATATGAGAAAAAATGTTAGGCAGTAACCAGCAGGGATAGAGTAAAGATTCACGTGGTATTTCTAAATCGAAAAGTGGCATGCTCATGTTTAAGTTTATCATTATTAATTGTTCCTCGTGGCTATGTACAAGTTTTTCTTCGAAAAGGTCGGGGTTTGGTTCCCCCCCCCCTCTATTTGTTTATTTTCAAAAACGGTTTCGTAAAATAAAGTAAAAAGAAAAAAAATCTCTCTGTTTATCTTAACATAAAAACAATTTTGAAGTTTTTAATGGTGGTTGACGGCGGCAACTAACGGTGATGACCGATGATGGTGGTTGGCAATGGTTAACGAGGGTGGCCAATGGTAATTAATCTGCGATAGTCGATGATGATTAGCTAGCGAGAACGGCAGGTGGTGATTGCAAATGATGGTGATGATCGGCGGCGGCGGCGGCGGCCATCGAGTAATTAAACTGTCAACACACATACAACGCATGGCCATATGCACCTTCAAGTATCCGATTATACATGCACACTAAATTTATGATATGATTTTCATATAGCAATTTTATTTATTTATGGTAATTCATCCAATCATGAGTCATATAAAAATCCAACCAATTGAAATCGACTAATAAGGTACCACACAACAAAGTTCTTGTAATGATTTTTTTATGTGAGATGTAAATATTATTGTAGCTAGTTAAAATAGGCTTAATTAATGGTAACAAATGACATATTTGTGTGTGTAGTCGTGTAGAGAGAGAGAGAGAGAGAGAGGGAGATTTATATTAAGGATACGTATAAAATCAGTCAAAATTTGTATAGAATTTGAAAAAACACAAAGCATCAAGTAGACTTCGAATGTCAATATTGCTCACGTAAAGAAACACGTTTTTATTTTCAAACCGTCTACAGAACTATCTTTGACATGGTGTATGAGAAAATAGTTAGTTACTAAAATTAAGCATTCAAAAATACTGAAGATCTTTTACATCCAAAAGTGAAGAGGCCAATCTAAGATACTCCTCCAATCGTTGACATAAGATATATTTAACTAATTTAATTAGATTAAAAAAGTTAGGTAAGTTAGTTAATTATAAAAAATATGATATGTTTTTCCTAAAACACTATAATCATTTTTCATAATATCCTCTCTTCCTTTTCTACTTAATTATGGTTAAAGGAGTATCCGCATGGATAATGTAGAAAAAATTGATAAATATGAAAAATATGTCTTATATTTAGGACTAAAATCAACCTAATAATTAGGTCTTATATTAAAAACCGAAGGTAATATATACCAAACCCCCTCACTAGCGGAATTACCGCATAGTTAGTTTGGTTGCGTGCCTTCCAAACTTTTGACCTTCTCGCTATTTCCTGTGCCATCAATTACGTAGATGAGGTTCACATGCATCTTTATGATTTTTCTTTCTTGTTCTACGAAAATACCTCTTTTAGAACATGCTACGTCACATGCCAACCTCTGAACGTGTTAATGCTGCGATAATAATCCTGAAATTCTGAGTTATTGATGATGATTTTGGGAATATTAATGAGAAGTTCGATAAATGCATGGAATGGATCCACCTAGGAATTGCCAAGCTTCAATATAGAAGCCTATGATGATGTTACCCCATAAAACTCCATTACAGTAGCTTGGGATATGCTTCATTCTCGTCTTTTTCATCAAATTGAAGAGTCCTCTTCGCTTGGTATACGCAAGAGAGAATCATCATCCATTGCTTTACTGATCCCTGAAACTACATCACTTTCTTGCTATGGCCATCCCAACTTCAATTATGCATACAAATTTCTCGGCCATGTCGTCTCCTTAGTTTTGGGGATAGCAAAAAACATATCAATTAATAAAATATTGATTACACAAAAAACTCATCTTAATTTTTTAGATCGAAACGTTATGATGGGCAGCAAATATATCAAGGTAATAAGTATAACCACATTTATTATATTAATCATAAAATTATTAATGCAAGAGGGAATACTAATGTTAAATGATGACATGTTTACGTGCAACTCGAAGTTTGTAGATTTATTACTTAAATATTTATATTTACAACTTAAAAGGCCCTAATATATTAGGGTTCTTATAAGTCTTCAATTGTGGTTCTCTAACAAAACAATGTCATTGCAGCACCGTAGAAGTACGGAATTCAATATGAGTATATAAGAAAAATTTTGCCTCGATTTATGTGAAAGTATTTTTTTTAAGTGCTTTTATTCTTGTGCTGAACACCCATGTAATGTACTATTAGTAACCACATTTATTTCCCAGAGGATAAACTTTTTTCCTTTTTCCAGGTGATAGATATAAGCTTTAAGCAAACATCAAAATAATGCCAGCTTCGTCCGACACCAAATTAAAATATGGTGTCAAATATAGCCTCAACAGTAATTTTCTCAAATTTAAAACAAATTAATCCTACATTTATCGAAAAACTAAAAATATAAATATGATTTTCTTTTTTGCCTGAAAGAAGTTATGTATATAAATCTGATCTAAAGTTCACTCATAAAACCGCACGCCTTTTCAGCTTGGCAATATAAAACTGTACTCTTTCGCCCGCTAGTCTTTTCTTTGTCCCGTGCAAAAAACAGCCGACCGTTACTGAAGTTAAACCAGAAAAACTTGTTTCGTGGCGTACTAAGCCTGTCTGATTTGTTTCTGGGTAGTCAGGCACTGTTGAACTGTATAATCTGCCATTCATACCCAAAATCCAAGCAGTCCTCTATTGGCATCAAGAATGCTGAAGATTCTCGTTGCATGCTGATAAAGCCTCAGCTAACATAAGATTGTGTTGCAATTTGAGAATTTTCATCTGGAATTTCTCGGAATCAGTATTACAGGATGCTTACAACTGGAAAGTGCCTAATTCGTGGCCATGCCTTGAAAGAAGTACTTTCCGGTCACCAACCCATTCTAGTCGATAAGAGAGGTCAAGATTATGAAGCAGTTGTTTTAAACTGTCCCCATGACCTGGATCCCTAGCATTCTCCTACAAAAGATTAAAAACAGTCAGGGGTGTCCAGGAGAGAGAGAAATAGATTTATGTATAGATTTATGTCACCGATAAGACAATGTTAGCTAGTAAAGCTTTCATCTCAAGGCATTTTGACTAGGTAGCTGCAGATACTTTCCGTGATTTAGGTTTCATGCATTTCAGATAATCTAATATACTTCTTCCATTCCTAAGTAACCTTCTATAAGCTTTTTATATTCCTATTCATAAGTCATTTGGTAAAAGATATGAAACTATTTTTTCTCTAATAGCGCCCCGGCATAAAGAGTGTTGAGTAAGTATGATGGAGAGGGGAATTGAGAGAAATGATCTAGAATTTGCATTTAATTAAAGGTATTTATGAAAATATGGGGTAATTTTAAGACAATCAACTAATTTTAACTAGCTTTCCTAGTTTGTGTGAATTAGTTAAAGACTATATACAAATAGGAACAGAGGTACAGAGGTAATAGTTTGCTTGATCCTAATTTTAAACCAGTTTCCTTTTAGACACCAATTTGCTCGATTTATTCATCTTCCCTTTCAATTCTCCTATCATGCTGTGTCTGAATAATTTAACCTCATCGTCAGGGGAATTCTTATACCAGGCTTGCTAAAACCACATGTGCTACGATACCATCCAAAATTAAAATAACCCAAGTTTGGTCATTATTAGACAATATCGAGAAATGTGAAAAGTTTGGGCCAATAAAAGACAAGAAATAATATTACCTTCAAGTTTGACTGTCCGTCAGCTCCCAAAATGTTGGCCATTATACTTGATCTGGATGAATTTGGAGAAAAGCCCTCCCAAGGAGGAACAAAAATTACTTTCGTGCACTGGACAGGAACAAAGTTCCGGCTTAGTTTCTCCCACCAGACAGATCCCAATGACCACCATCTGATCATCAGCCCATGTTCAGAAAAGGCAACCAGCCCCTACAGTTGAAAATGGGTAAGTTCTAGATGAAAGTGACGTAATACATTCTTTTGTGTGACTAAAGTGACGTAATACATTATGAAAGCACTAATGTTACAGAGCAGTATATAGATTTCCCACTCAGAAGAGAAAATATTTGGAGATTCTTGCAAAAAGCATCAATCCTTGGGCAAATGGACTCACATAAAATCATTAAAAATAAAGTAAAATAAAAGGGAAAACACTGGGCATTTATGTGGAGGGGGGGTTTAATGGAACTGTAATCAATGTCATCACCAGCATTCAAGAAGGTTAAAGAAAATTAAGAAAGTTTTAAATAGAAAAGGCAGATACCCCCCCCCCCCCGGGGGGGTTAATGTCTTGTATTGTTGGTTTGATTTGGGTTCCGTTCTTCAAGTCTTCGTTATTGGGGAGAGGCACAGATAATTTCACTTATGCACCTATTTTCACTCCAAGTAATAGTATTTGGGCCTGTGATGTAATTTCTTTCCCCACTTTACGTGAGTTTGTTGTACTAATTTCAATAAAAAAATAGTATAATTCCCTAATTACAATCTACCCGCACATTGCACAGGATAGCATATGCTAGTTTACATAAAGATGAAAAAAAGTATGACAACAGAATAGAGGTATACCTCCCTAGGACCCTTTCCAACCAAAAATTAAATGAGTTTGAAATATAGTTTCACATTGATTCATCCAGCATATATTTGGTCAATGAAGTTTGATGAAGCACGATGGGACGCTTAAGCCCCTTAACTAGGTAATCGTACAGAATACAAATACATTGAGAGGGTGAGGCATAAAGCTGGGAGGAACAACATTCATTCTAGTAATGGTTTTATATCCAGCCAAGCATTTGTCAAGACTATTGCTTACATTGTCATCGTCAATAACACAGTAACATAGTCTGATGTCAGCAACAGCCTATTAGCACACAAATTTAATCAGATAGCCTAGGAACTTTATAGTTTGTTTATCCATCCTGATGCATTCAGATTCTGAATTAGGAACAAAAGATGCCCACAAAAGCCATCCTCAATTTCCAAATTATCATAGCAAGGCGAGATAAACAAATGCCAGCTAACTGGATCAAATGAAGAAACAGTGCATTCAAAATTCTTTTAATCATTTTTCGGTGCTGGGTACCTCTCCATCAGGTGAAAAGCTTAGAGCTGAAATAGCAGTGAATATTGTTTCTGATGCTGCTGCAAGCAAACTTGGGAGGCCAGGAGGCCCACTTGCATCCAAAACTTTTATCATTGTCACGCTGCGCCAAAAACAAAGACAAAAGATAACTTTATAAATGAAAGGGAACACAAAGGCGTGCAGCGGTAAAGAGTAGAAGCAAGAATTAAACACATGATGATTTAGGTCAGCTACACAGTAAATCGTGATTAATTTAATTCCATCCGTTAAATTACACAAAAATTTCCATTTATATCATTCAATGGCCTTTTACAACCACCTGGTAGGAACCAGTGTAGTTCCCAAACTCAACTCAGAACAGTAAACAACACAGCTGATAATGATGCTGCACTGTATTGGGGAACAACTAAATATAATTAAGGGAGGAACTAAAGCCTTGGTTTCCTGTCTATTTTATTTTGACCCTTCCAAATGGTAATTATAGTTCTACCAGTGGATTTATCATAAATAAGATAAAATCACAAGTTGACAGCAATTCTCTACAAGTTCATGCGTGAGACAGACCACAAACAGTTAGCAGCTACATCTGTGAAAGACTAGCGATTACAACTCCATACTCATATAACAATTTGAGTTCCACTGGTAAATTCATATTATAATACCTTTGCATGTCATAAACCCTAATGCTTGGGTTATTAACCTCTCTAATCACATCCCCAACTGCCAATCTGGTCCACGTATCATTCATAGCAACCATAGGATATATGCGTATAACCTCCTTTAAAGTTGTCATTGAACTTTGGAAGCAAGTTTTCCGCATGACTGAGTTGCTTGGATCTATAGTTTGTAAAATGAAATTGACAACCTGCAGATCTGTCCCACTGTCACAGAAGTTCATGCTTCTATATTTCATGACATCTAACCTAATTAATACCAAAAATTAAAACTCCAAGGGCTGAAAAAAACAACCGAGCATCAACATGCTTTACAATGGAAACAATCATGGCCTCTCTAATTAGAGAATCCCTCTGCTCCAAACTACCAGTCACCAGAAATACAAAGAACAATAACAAGTTCATTATGCAAATAAGAATCAAAGGGGAGAATAAAATATAAAAATTATAGAGTCAAAGGCACAGGCATGTTATGACATACAAAAAGAAATAAAGTACTATTTTCCATCAGCCTTCTTCCTTTTTTTCTTTGGGGTACAATCATTTGATATTCAACACTACTAAGGTCAACTTCGAGCATTATTGAGCCCAATAGGATGTAGCTCTCCCAATTTGAATTTCTTCCAACCGCCATTTTTGATCCCTTAACTTTGCTTAGGGGATAACCAAGAATAGGAACGTTTTTAATAAATATGATGCAACAATACTTCTCTTTCCATACAAGTATTCTTCCAATATAATTCTACAAAAATATTTCATTTCACTAGAGAGAAAAAGATATTTGCATAGGAAAATCACTTTAAACCAAACCAAAAAAAAACACACAAAAAACAAATAGATGAACATTATCCTCGTAAAATTAGAGAACCTATAGCATAAGGTGCAGTGAATAACTTCACTAACCTTGTCAAGATATTGAGCCAAGTTCCTTGGAGAACCTCGCATAACCCTGATGAGAGTCATCAGGGATACTAAGTGGACAGGTGAATCAGATGCAGTAGACCAAATTTGACTTTCAACCAGACTCAAAAAACCAAATATATCAGCCATGGCTAAACTTGGAAGAAGAATTTCAATCAAAGACTGTTGAATAGAAACTGATGCAGCAGGAATTTCTGCAACTAAATTCGTGGATGACCCGTTCAATTCTATTTGGAAAAAGATATCCCCAATTAGACGAGGTATCTCAGACCCAATGCAATCTTTCCATGTATTCTCCATGCCCTCCGCAAGAAGCTCAGCAGCAGTGGAGCTATACTTTTCATTCATGGCCATAGCCAACTTCATCAGTGGATGAACAACTAATGTGGCAACGCTTGGCTTCACAAGGCTAGGATACCAGATTGCCAATGCAGCAGCAACAATAATGTGAGATGTCATTGCATCTTGACTTGTTCCCCCAACACAAGAAATCCAATCTTGCACTTCAAAGGATTCTAGCCATGCAAGTATATTGGATTCCTCAGTTTGGGAGATTACTTCTTCATCACCTTTTAGTCCCGTCTTACCCTGATCCATACCTCTGCTTCCAGCCACAGGGTTAATATTGGTTTGCTCAGTCGTGTTTAAATTGCACAGAGGTAGTGGGATGGCATGAGAGGCTGCGCAGTGAAATAAAGAACGTGCAGCCATACGTACATGTTCACTCTCAGCTTGCCAAAAAGCCACTAGAAGCTGTAAAAAGAGGACAAAAATTGAAGACACCTAGTGCAGTGTAGTGTCAACTGACTCATAAATTTAATAACAAATAAACCTAGTCAATAATCCAAAAGGAGAAATGCCATAGTCAAAACATTCAAAGTGATTATTCTGGTTACATTAGATTATGAAACAAAATTAAAATGCTTCAAAGCAGAAGCCAAGCTACAACAAGAAGCATACAAGGTACTAACTTTTCAGAATTGCTACTTCGAAGTTCTTAATGTGAATAAATAAATTTGTAATCATACATAAGCAATTTACCCCTACTTTTCAGCTTTATATTAGATGGGATTATATGAGAAATAAGAAATGTATAGAACAGAAGGAGGAAAAAATATTAAAAAACAGGTTCATTATGTCATATCCACATATACTTCAGACATCATGTTAGAGGGATTGAAATATAACTTTTAAAAATCCTAGTTAAAACAATTTTCCTCTAGCTATTAAAAGAAGAAAAAGAAAAAAATGAAAAAGAAACACAGTTCCTCTCCCTGCTCTTCTTAAGCAATTAAGAACCCGTATTGGCATGCAGCTCTCAGCATGCAAATATTTTTCCTTTCAACAAAATCAAAACTAAACTCCCGGATTAGCAACTCTTCACCTTTATAAGCCATGAAACACTAGATCAGACAACTTTTCTAAAAAAATAATCATTGACTAAGAAAATAAGATTAATTGACGAAGGAAAGAAAGCTATTAAAACCAAAGGGACAATATATTGACATGGTTAGGTCTCTAATCAAATGACAGACTGTGGGTGGACCCATGCAAACGGCACAAAGCTTTTTAACTGGACCCAATAACAGTCATTAGAACAAATTACACAAGCCAGTGCATTAATGATAATGTAAAATATGATGAGTTGAAATGTATTTCACCATGCAATAAAATATTGAATTTCATTTAGAAAAGCTCTTCAATTGGTCTCTTTCTATAGAAAAGCAAATTATGAGAAATTCATCCCTTTGACCAATTAAGTTAAGGGGGAAAATCTTTATATAGATATATGCAGTGTAAGAGAGTAAAAGTCATCAAACAAAGTTCAGCATTATTGGAGACTGCAGCAGTATAATGCATACCAAGATCATCGGTATCCACCATAATGATAATATAGGGACATGAGAGAAATTATTTTATAATAAAATAAACAAGAGCAGAAAAGCAATTCAACATATTACAACCTGCAAGGAAGGTGGCTTCACATCTGGAATTTTTTCTGTGAAATTCCGAGTATAGAATGCTGCTAAAGAACTGCACAAGATACTTTCGAACATAACCACAATTTCTTCCAAATTGGAGTGTTTGTAAAGAGAAAGTAACGAAAATAATGAATACTTTAAGATGGGAGGTGGAGTATGCATTTAAGATCACAAGGCAACTTTATTAGCCTGGCGGCAAAGATTCAATTCACAAGAGAAAGTCATCAAGAATAGTGAACAACAGGAAAGCATCATTGTAAACTTCATAATATCTAAACAGATAAAACATAACCTACTTCTCGTACTTGAAGATTCTAAATCTTTTATTTGACAAGTTTACTTGAACCTCTGGACCTATAGTTAAATCTAGAACTAAAAACAAATCACGTGATAGACTAATCTGGGCATTGGAAAATCTTCTTTGTTCAGAGAATCTATATAGATTGCAGCAAAAAAAAAAAAATTAGAAGCATTAGCTAGGCTACAAAGGTTACTAAAAACCCACTAGCAAAACCTACAAGCTAACCAGCGGATTAAAATATCTACAACTACATAGATGTTCCCGACTTCAGAAAAACCTTAAAAGGAATTTGGGCCAAGATAGCTTTCCAATGGTTCCTTTCATGTGATTATTGAGCTTTAATTCAAAGTAACTTTCCAGAAGAAACTACAGTAATTTTTCCAATTTAGCTTTCCTCCGAAGTAAAATTAAAGTCATTTTCAAGTATAGAAGTTTACAAGCAAACTGATTTGATTGTTTTGATCACATACTGCAAACCATACCTGCTGGCTGCTGAATCAAAGTGAGACATGCTAATCAAACGTTGAGCAAGGGATACCATCATCAATGACCTCATTGCACAAAACTCAGCTGATAATTTCCAGAGCTGAAATTTAGGCTTTAATGTTCAGAAAACGTTGAAAGGAGGGATAAGAAAATAGGTCCTAACATGCAATACAACTCATCCAGATTACCTCAAGAACAGCACTCAGACCAGGAAATGTCAATGTCAAAGACCCTCTATCCCCCTGGAGTCCTGCAGCTATTTTAAAATTTTCTGGTCTCCTCAGCTTCATATCTCTCATCAGTAAATCATCAAGCTCAGTGTCTACATCCCACAAATGCAAAAATGACAAGCTAAACCGAAGTAAGCATTCTTCAAATAGCTTCTCACGCCCCTCTACAGTATCAGTAAGGACTTCATATGTTTCTTGACTTTCATGGTTGGAATTTCGTTTTTGCATTTCCTGCTGCTTTGAACTGATATTCACTGGCTCAGAAGACTGGAGCTTCTGATGAGAGAACATCAATGATGCAAGATCAAAACTCAAAGCCACAATACCAGGGAATGGGCTAGAGCATTTTATTGGGTGCTTCTTACTCCAGAGGGCGGAGAGAGAAGGTGAATATGCTTTATCTTTATTTGCTTTGTCTGCATGAGTTGGAGAAGCATTCTGCTCAGCCACACTTGAAATGCTTGGTGATGATCTAGATGAAGTGACCAAGCTCCCTGAAATACTGGATGAGGGCTTAAACAACCTTCCATCTTCAACAGTTGGGAGAAGTAATGAAGAAACTGATGTATTTCCGTTCAACAATGTGCCAGATATGGAGTTCATGCTGATGCTATCACAAAAATGATCAAACATAGAATGCGCAGCTGTACCACGAAGAATCCTCTCACGGCAACCAGTCTTCACATCCCATATGTATAATAGAACAGAAGTATCAGATGTTCCAGTATGTGTTTGGCAGAGACAAGCAATGTAACCTCTAGCTCCATCCCACACAACTTTTGAAGGATAGTTCATGTGACCAGGAAACATTCTTTCCACCTGCAAAGTTTCAAGAGAAACGAGAGCAACACATGAGTCATCTCCAATTGAAAGGAAGCAATTGCTCCAAGGACGATCAGTCAAAGAAGGGGGAAGAATAATTTGGCGCACTGGTGCTACATGATGATGCATAACCATAATAAGACAGCCAGTGTCGAGATCCCATATACGAACTGTGCAATCCACACTTCCAGACACCAAAATGTGACTAAAACTATGGGCTTTGGAGCTACCCATCATTTGATGAGCTGCCAAACAGACTACCGCACCTGTGTGCCCAGAGAAGTACTGTTCGCATGCAACTGACTTTTCCTCAGTTTTGGAACTTACACACCATCTAAACTCATCGTCTGAAACAGATCAAATCTTACAACCTCTATTAATCCACTTAAGAAACCATATACAACAGCATAAGGAGCAACGAGGCTCTCTGATATGATCATGAAGAAGAATCCGTCCCTCGTTAGTATTGTAATTACTTGAGCATTCCAAACTGGAAGTTGATTCTGTCCCTACACTATTTAACCCTTTCAACTGATCAGAGTTCTCAAACAGGTCAGTGAAAGATACACCATCTCTGAGCATTCTACATTTCATACAACCCTTTTCATGGCCATTCAGCATAGTCCTTGCCCCAAAAGTTTCAAGAAACATAGCCCCCATGACATGCGCTTGAGTAGAATGCTCATCAGAACATGAAAGATTGTCCAGAAAGGAAATTTCTCCCAACTTTGTATCACTAGACAGTAACCTGAATATGCAGTGGTCTTTAAACATTAAAGCAGCAACATTCCCATGGGTTGCAATTGAAATAATTTGTTGCCCACCACTCAATCCCTCAGCCCAAACAGAACTTTCCAACTGAGATTGATCTTTATTCAAACTAAAAGTTTTCCCCCTGATCATGAGGATCTTTTGAAACAGAAACTATTTGTTGCTTCCCAACTGAATCAGCAACGAATATAGAATGCCTCTCTTTATCATTATCATCTGAGACTACAGCCATAAACTTCATGGGGCCAATAGATAGATTTCCATGAAAGACGGTTTGTGTAATGGCAAGTGAATATGTATCAACAATAACAATAGTACATTTTGGAGGCTTCCTAGGCTGAGTTTCTCTATCAATCAAACCGTCATTTCCTTCCACAGCATTTACAGAATAGTGGTCTGACAAATGAACAGTGTCCATGAAAGAACAACCAATACAAACATATCTTGCTCTTGAAGGCAGTGTTCGGATCATGCATGGACTGCCCACCCAAGGAGGCAATTTCCTCCTGCACCGGCAATGACCACTGCTTCTACTCCATACACACAAGAAGCCATCAGTACATGCACTTATTAATGCACTAAAATTACTTGAAGTAGATTCGACTACTAAATTACTTGAACTGCCTGTATCTTTTTCTGCTATTGTAGGACTGCAAGTTCCAAGATCAGTGATCGGTGCAGCGTGACCACACAATATACCCACTGCTTTAACTTCCTGCAATGATAAGTTCACTCTTAGCTCAGAGCAGAACTTGAGGCTCTAGTTTGTATCTAAAAGCATCATATTATTGGATGAACCCATGCACTCTATGCTTAACCGAGTCTGAGAACAATTAACATGGGAAAGGCAAAAATGCAACATCACGATATTTGAAGTCATCATTTGTGCATAAGAAAATAAAAGCCAGGCATTGGGAAAAGAATGGAAATACCGGGCTGGAATAGCTGTTGGGTATGGCCCACCAGATGATGGAGCCATCGGATCCACCAGTATAGAAGGATGGTGCACTGCTTTAACTTCCTGCAATGATAAGTTCACTCTTAGCTCAGAGCAGAACTTGAGGCTCTAGTTTGTATCTAAAAGCATCATATTATTGGATGAACCCATGCACTCTATGCTTAACCGAGTCTGAGAACAATTAACATGGGAAAGGCAAAAATGCAACATCACGATATTTGAAGTCATCATTTGTGCATAAGAAAATAAAAGCCAGGCATTGGGAAAGAATGGAAATACCGGGCTGGAATAGCTGTTGGGTATGGCCCACCAGATGATGGAGCCATCGGATCCACCAGTATAGAAGGATGGTGGTTGACTGAAACTGGCGACGGCGGTAACTCTGTGAGGTGGGGGAGTGCCAGACCATATGCATGCTACAGATCGGCACTTCATAATTCACTTCAATTCCCAATGTGTAAGCATTTGATATGATGAAACATGGCGAGCCAACTCACCGCTGAACAAGCTGAATCGGCTTTTGATAGAGGCTAAGAGGATACTCCAGATGGCTATCTACCACCTTTCTTTTCTAAATAGGCTCCAGCTCTTAAATTTGATTTCTTTCTGCAAGAATTTCGTTTCTTTTGTGAACATTCAACAGCAAGTGAATAATATAAAATCAATAATCGATTATCGAATTCCTGAAGAAAGAAAACTAAGTTTGTTTGGAATTACAGCGGAAAGCATGTATCCTTGGAAAGTGATGCTAACTACTAGGAGATGGATTGAGGGCGCTGTCGCAGTGGCCAAAAGGACTAGAACAAGAAGATAGCTTTGACAGGATTGGAACGTTGGAATCGTATTGGAAGCAAACCAATATGTTGATCCTCCAGCGAATCTTTACTTTCAGGCTTCGACAGACTGAAATGTATCCTCACCTCCTACCCTTTTCCCCAGCTTCCCGGCAGAGAAATTGATAGCCTGTTTGGCGCAGAGGAAAATCTGTTATGTCAGATGAGGAGAGGGAGAAGGACTTGACGCCCGCTCGATTTACAAAATTTTATCATATGAAATAGGAGTCAGGATTTTATTCCCACGCGAGTTGTGTTTGGTTGCTATTTATTTGCCAGCATTACCATTTCCTACATATTCTCATTTGCTCCAAATGCGGGAAACGTCACGCCCCTGGTCTGGGGGATAGATCCTGATCCTAGTAAGGGAATGAACCTTGAAATGGATGAACAACCCTAGGTGATTCCTCTTCCTATTATTGCCATCACATGCTCCTCATTTTTTATTGACCTCCAAGCCTTGCTCTCCAAAAATCACTCCCTTCATCTCCCTTCTGTTGAATTCATTAGACCCACGCATTAATTTTATTTTGATTGAAAATTAAAATATTTTACGCTGTAACATTTGGTTCCTTGTATCTGGTTTCAAAATTTTGTGTTACTTCCTTGTATTTCTTCTCCATTGTTCTCTCCTCCCAGATTCAAACGCCATCAAGCTAGGGTAAGCCATTGATTCCAAGGGACAATGAGCATGCTACTAAGACATGGGTGCACCAAAATGGCAACATCATCTTTGATTTTGGTTTTTATCAACTTGGAATCAGATTTGACAGTGTGGTTGTCATTAACAATCTGGATAATGGAATTTGATTTGGTTCTATTTATGAGAGGGTACAAAATTGGGGTTGTTTAGTTCGGCTAAGGAGTGTGTCACATTAGCAATAGTTTGTTCTATTACAAGTGTGCAGCAATAATTCTAATGGCATTATTATGAATGATCTGTTCAATTGAGCTTAAAAAAAGATGACACTGGCAAAAAGAATGACATATTTTTTAGTAATATTTATTCATAACCTTATGAATACTCATTATAAGCTTACAATTATTTATAAAATGTCAAATTTATCTTCAACAACCGAGATGAAAAGACAATATTTAATTTTAAAACATACATAAAGATTCATCCCATTAAATAGAAATGTGAGATTTCTTGTTTAAATCATTTGGCATCAATTCCAAATTTCTTCTATTATGCCTGTCTAGCTCTCTAAAATCATAACCAGCAATTCTAGTATCACTTAACTGTTTTCTCCTCTGGTCAGTAGCCATTACTACAAAGTATGAAATATTCTTCAGCCAAGCACTCTACCAGTATGAAGCAAGATACTCTCTTGTTCAATTCTAATGAACATCTTTATTCTATAAATAGCCTAGTAAGCAAAAATGGAGAAGATTCTCCATTATATCATAACTCTCCAAGTCTGGCTCCAATTTATAGATTGTTGGACAATATTTTCTGCAGCTCCATGTAACAAAAAGTTCTTACCTTCGAAGATTCATACCAACAACCTTTCCTACCAACACAAAAAAAAACCAATGCTTTCGCGAACACATTGTGCCTGTTTGGGTCGGTTTTTATTAGCACAAACATGACTTAAATTTAAAGATAAGACCCATTGAAGATGGTGTGATGTTTAGCAAAGCCTATAATGTAATAAACTATTTTTTCAGTCACTAATCCAAACAGATCCATTAGGGGTGAGCAACAAACCCTTACCGCTAGCTCGCCCATAACCCATGAAATTTTGCTCATTTAAGCCCGCCCAATTAGCCCAAATAGAGATTATAAACGGGCGGGTAGCCCATTAAACGGGTGGGCTATGGGCAAAGTATTGGGCTGTCCATACCCGCCCATTTAAGTTTAAGTTTTAAAAAATTTTTATTCTTCATTTAATTGATGATATTGTTTCTCATTCATATTTTATCAAAACCTTCATTATACTGTCTAAGTTTTTATTTTATCCTTTAGATAAAAGTTGGAACTTTCAAAGTTTATGAGACTTTATGATTGGTGACTATTTTTTGATTTATCAGACTTAATTGTTTGCGAATCTAAGTGAGATTGTGTGATTGAATATGGTTGATGTTATTTCATATTTGATTTGCTATTTGACATGCAAAATTTATTGACAGCTTCATAAGGTTACATATATAAAATAATTCTACTGAAAAAAAAGTTTAAAAAATAAATGGGTTACCCCATAACCCGGTCAGCCCAAACGGGCTGCCCCGTAGCCCATTTAATATGGGCTAAATGGGCTACTACGGTTATGGGTTACCCATGCCCATTATGAATAAATGGGCGGGCTAATGGGCAACCTTCGAGTTAGCCCATCCCGCCCATTGCCAGCCTAGATCCATTTACAAAGCATCCCAGCTACTTAAATTTAAGCAGCACAGAGCAGAGCATTTTCTAAGGGTGATGCCAAAAGGAAGCATATTGATCAACAATAGGACAAACCTTGTACTTCTGTATGAAATAGAGCTAGAAGCCTCCGTCATTTCTAAGCTTTTTCATCAAGCAGGCAAACGAATCATAGCTCATCTTCTGACTAGAACTAAGAAAGATGAATTTCCCAACTATGTGTTAACTCATGCAACTATGCCCTTCCATGGGATCTCCACAGAATAACGCATGTGCATAACCAGTCAAAATCTAAATTCCTTTGATGCCATAATTGCAAACATCATAAGAATTCATATACATAAACGTTTCCCAGATCGCAGCAAATCAAAAATAAACCTACAAGACAACAGGAAAAGCAAATGCCAGAAAAAATTTGGGCAACAACTTTTCACAGTTCAACAAAGATGGTACAAGAACTAGCTTTCCCAAATTAAACAGAAAACATCTCAGGTAGGGTAATAAAAAACTAATCTTGTTTGCTTTTTTTATCTTATATTTTATTATCAAAATTTTATAACTCCGCTACTCCAATTTTTTAAACTGAGCTCATAAAAATTTTCATTCTATTACATTCCTTTTAATTTTTTGGTACCAAATATAGGGTAAGATGCTCGCGTGTTTCGTTTAATTTGGTTGTCGGAATGGATCCCATGCTTGTAACTTTTGTCCGGAAAAGAAAAAAGAAATCGAGCCGAACAAGCCTCCTTTGGGAGTTAAGAATTTTATTTTTTTCCAACTTAATGACCTTATAAATGACGCGAAAATTCTTCTATAGGTGAAAAGTTATGTCTTGAATTTCATTATAATCTTATATAATTAGCACACGTCTTTCTAATTAAAAAAATTTTTTTTTTACAGTACGAAGTCCATCTTCTTATAAATTTAAAATAGAAAATAAATTTTTTAAGCATTTTAGTCAAAAATTCGATCCTTAAAAATGTATATAAAGAGAGTATTGTAACCAGCATTAATAACTCTCTGGCAAGTTTACAGCGCGAAGGGACCAACTACATAGCTAAAAGAAAAAATAGAAATACTTTAACAAATCAAAAACATTAAATCATTTTGTTTAAATTTTTCAATTAAATATTTTTAAATGATAAAATTTAATTATACACGTTGAAATAGTTTTTAATTATCTCTTTTAGTAAAAAAAAAAAGGTTTGAATTATTAATTATTAGTTAATTGATAAATTTTTTTAATGAAAATTTAGTTATCAATCAAATTTATTAAAAGTTTAGCAAAAAATATTGAAAATTTAATAAGAAATTACATTCATTGAAATTTTAACTAGTAAATTTATTTGAATTTTAACGAGTATGTTATAAATTATATTTTTTTGATAACTTTAAAGATAAAATAACCGACAGAAAATGGTTTGACATTAAATTTCTTTTTTTTAGTTTTACTATATCAATACAGTTACTCAAGAGTTGTATCGAATCTTAAAAATATGTAAATAAAAATTTATAAAGATATTGTAAGAACAAAATTTAATGAAATTATTTTTATTAATATAATGAAACGATTTGTATATGCAAATCTAAAGATTACAAATCATTAATTTATAGTAGTATATAATATTCAATACGCTTTATCATAATTAAATTTGTCAAAATATCGTAAAGAAAACTACAAATTATTATTAGTTCTTAAGATAAAATAATCACTTTTGGTTAAAAAAATAAATATTCAAAAAAGATAAAATTAACTTGTGATTGAAAGTTAAATTATGAATTATTTCAAATTAAATTAAAGTGATATATTTTCGTTTCAATTTATCTGGTTTTAAATATATCTAACTTGTTTTTTGGCCAAAAAGGATATTTAATTTCTTTTTGTGAATGTCAAAAAAGGATAGGATTAAACAGATTGAGCCACGATTTTATCATTAATTAATAGGACGAAACCAATTTAGTAATCCTTGCAGTAACAGGACGAAGTTTCTAGATAAGAAAGTCGTCGAAAGTAAGCTCGTCAAGTCAACCGGCTCTTTCCCTCTATTTGTTCAAAGCTGTGCAACTCCTGCTCTCCATCACTGAACCGCCTGTGATTCTGACTTGGGAGGTCAGCAAGCGACGCTACAATGGCAAGCGAACTTGAAAAGAAAGCCAAAGAAGCGTTCTTCGACGATGACTTCTCTCTCGCTATTCAATACTACTCTCAAGCAATCGACTTGGATCCCTCCAACGCCGATCTCCTTGCCGATAGAGCTCAGGCCCTCATTAAACTCAACAACTTCACTGGTTCTTACTTCTCCCTCTTTGAATGTGTTTTTATTTTGCGTATTTCTGTTGTTGTCGTTCATGTTCAGCTATATTTTTGGAGTAATCCCACTTGACTTAAACATGGGAAGTCCTATTCACAATTTATTGCCTCCAGTCCTGTTTCGTTCATGTAGTGTGGGAAAAAAAGTCTTTTTTTTTTTGCCGCCGGATCTGTATTTTATGTGAAGTTTGACTTGTGGGTTTCATTTACTGAACAGAAGCGGCTTCGGATGCAAACAAAGCAATCGAATTGGATCCGTCGTTGATAAAAGCGTATCAACGTAAAGGGTCAGTAGATTTCATGATATTTATGATTATGATTTACGTATCTTCTTCTATAATGGTGTGTCCTTGTTCTTTCCTCTCTTTCACGTTTTTTCATTGGAACTGCTCTTTGGAAGCAATGTCCTCTATTTTTGGTAACTACATGTTGCAAAAATGATGCTTGACGTTTTGCTTTAAACAACAAATTACTTTAGCACCTCTTTTTTAACCAGGCCGTGATTAGTTTATCAATTCATGCGATATTTTTTAATATAAAAATTCAGGGCCGCATGTTTAAAGCTTGGACAGTATCATAATGCGAAGGTGGCGCTTGAGACTGGTGCTTCTTTGTCTCAAAACGATTCAAGATTCACCAAGTTGATCGAAGAATGTAATCTCCATATTACGAGTGAGTAGATATTCTATGACCTCTTAGAACACTTGGTTATGATCATGTGCATGACTTTTACTTGTACGGGCTTTGGTGATGATGATTGTTTTGCTTATTTCTGTTTTAAACCGTTAAGTGTGTTACTGTAGTTATTTTTCTGTTAATGATTGTTGACTTAAATTCTTTCTCCTGATACATTTATTTTGTCCTTTTGGAGTCTCATGTCCTAGCTTTGTGATGTGCTATATGAGGAGCGTGTTTTGTCTTGTTAATTCTTTTCATAGTTTTTGGGTTGGTAATATGTCTGTGGGAATTCTGTCAGAGGAATCCAACGGTCTCACTAGCTCTTTATCGTCAAATGGGGCAGTATTGAATGTACCGCCTAGTACAACTGAAGAAAATGAAAGATTTAGTCGTGCACATCAAGCACACACCGATACCTCTGCGAAAACAAGATACAGGTAGCGTCTGTACTTTTTTCCTCTGTCTTTAATTTTTTTTGTTTTCCCTTGATTGATTAACTTTCTTAGGAAAGTGAACTTGCATCATTATTGCCATCTTTCAACCTATTTGTATGATGAGATTGAAAGCTTCTGTACAATATCTTATCTTGTACTGTTTTCTTTGTAACATCATGTAAGGAAATTTTAGCTAAAAAATTGTGATTATGTTACCAAATGAATGTCGAATTTGCTTGGAAGTACAGTTTTCTTTCTTTCTTTCTTTTCTATTTAATAGCTTTTTTAACCGGATCCCATATGAGCTGTATCCCTTTAAATTGTCAAACTTTCCACTGAACTGTAATTGTTTTTCTCCTGTCTGTCTCGTGTATCTATCTATAATTCTTTAAATGCATGCGCAATGACCTCAATCATATGGTTATCTGATAATTATTGCTTGAACAGACATGAATACTACCAAAAGCCAGACGAAGTGGTTTTGACAATTTTTGCAAAAGGAATACCACCAAAAAATGCGGTTGTTCAGTTTGGTGAACAAATTGTAAGTTTATAATCTGGCCATTTCTTGTTTTCTCTGATTCCTCATATCTCTTTATAGATGAGTACCAGATCTTTTAAATAATCAATGTACTGAATGTCAAGCACTTTATTTTGGCAGCTGAGCGTTACTATTGATGTTCCTGGCCAAGAAGCCTACCACTATCAATCTCGATTGTTTGGAAAGGTATTGCAACAGCTAAGCTAGTTACTGAATCTGCGTCCTTTAAACATAGAAACTCTGGGGAGAAGCATCCGTTTGCTCATCCCCATAAACATTTCAATACCCTTCTTTTTTGCCCGTGAAAATTTTCAAAATTCTATTGTTTATTGATCATAGATTTATTAGTAACTTAATCTTTTTCTTTTCTCCTCCTCCGTGGAGCAAAATAGATAATACCTGATAAGTGCAGATTTGAGGTGCTGTCAACCAAAATTGAAATCCGTCTAGCAAAAGCTGAAGATATTAATTGGGCATCTTTTGAATATAGCAAGGGTGCACTTCCTCAGACGAAAAGTATCTCATCAAGTAAGCTGAGTTACTATAGTGTGTTTCTAATTGTCATGACCCTCAGATTATTCCACTGTTTGGGCAGGCTCTATAATTATTCTCTCTTTTGTTTGATGTTGTAGATTAACTAGTAGAATGATTGCTTGTGCATTGTTATTTTCTTGTTTCCTATTGGCTATTGGTAAGCTTGCTTCTAATTTCTGAATCCTAATGGGTTTATGTGCAGCTGGATCTCATAGGCCTGCATACCCGTCATCAAAGCCAAAGAAAGACTGGGATAAGCTGGAAGCTCAAGTGAAGAAAGAGGCATATTTTCTAAGCTAACTCCTCGATTGACTTCTGATTTATCATGAACCAAATTACCAGCGGATGTTTTGATCTTTATTGTTGGAGAGCAATATGACGTGTTTAACAACTAGAATATTGACGTGATAATGATCCGTCTTTCAGGAGAAGGAAGAAAAGCTAGATGGTGATGCTGGTTTGAACAAGCTGTTCAGAGATATATTCCAAAATGCAGATGAAGACATGAGGAGAGCGATGACCAAGTCTTTTGTAAGATATTCATTCTGTGTTTATAGTACGATCCGTAATTATACTTGGTGTTCTTTGTAATCATTTAGTGCGTGAAATATTTTGTAGGTGGAGTCGAATGGAACAGTTCTTTCGACAGATTGGAAAGAAGTGGGATCAAAGAAGGTGGAAGGCAGTCCTCCAGAAGGCATGGAGATGAAGAAATGGGAATACTGATGAGCCTCGAGTTTGCTGCAATTGCAGATTGATTTTAAAATATTTTTCACTTTTTTTTGTAAAAAGTGTGGCTTCTAAATTTGCATCCTTTCATTTCAGACATCATTTTACTTTTGTTTTAAAAGATTTGTTGAGCTTGAATTAACATGAAACTTAACTCCCGATCTGATGAATAAACTATTTTTAAGCATAGGATTGATTTGATGTGGATGGAATTTTTTTTTTTTTCAAAATAACCTTTGAGATTTGATACCAGTTAAATTCATTTGAAGCAAACTTTGCAAATCGGACTCGAACAGCTAGTTTCACACGCTTTACAAAGACACAATGGTATAATGGCACAGGGACATAAGACAAGGAGCATGATCCGCGACCTGAGCGAGTAGGCTCCTGACAAAAAACACGCATTACATAGTAATGAAGATCTAATCATTGATGATGAATGGTCAACTTAAAATAGCTTATAAATAACTTTTTAATTATAATTTATAAGATATGAGGTAACTATATAAAAAAAAATTATTTCGACTTACATAAAATATACTTATAAATAATTTTAAAAGGCGAGAGAAGAAATGAGAGGAATTGTTGTGTAGATCATTAATTTCCATTTCCTTGTGTAGTTTTTTTTTTTTTTAAATACACATTTCCTTGTATAGTTCACTAAAGGTAATTGGCTGAGCTACTCCTGGGCATCAGCCATCACTACCATTTGGGAGAAGTAAATTACTAATAAAAAAAATTCAAAACTCTAGTAGGAATAAGAATTGTGATTGGGATTAAAAAAATCATTAAATAATGATTAGCAAACAATTACCTCCCATCATATTATTCTCTAATCCCATATATATGGATTTTTCCAATTTCAAGTAACAAACAATTACTCCTACTAAATACTTTTTTAACATAATTTTTTCAATTACAATCACAATTTCCACCCTTCATTTTCAATACTCGGTACCAAACAAAACCCTAGTCTTATATATTGAATTGAGCCCATCTATCTCAAGCACCAAACTTTAGTTTCTTAAGAAGTGAATGATAAACTGGGTCAATTTGTTAAAGAACAATTAAAGTTGTTGTGACAGTTATGCCCACATGATTAAATGGGGTTGTGTTTTACAAAAAACTAATCTTTCATAACATGACAAACCAAGATTTGAATTCCCGTTAATATTTAATACTCAATAGTATCTCTAACAGGATTATCTCTAATAAGAAGATATTTGTGCTTAGGAAAGGGGAAAAAAAGCCATGCCCCCATACTTAATATTATTCTTAAAAAGCTGCTGAACAAGCCATAAAATCGGAGTAGAAGCTTCTTATGGGAAGTCCTGTGGAGGAGAGGAAAGTTCACCTTATCTCGTGGAAGGAAATGATAAAAGACAAGATGCAGGGTGGTCTTGGTGCTAAGGATTTAACAAACCAACATGAAACTTTTATTATGAATCTGTGTTGGATGATCCTTACTCAAAGGAATGCTCTATGGGTGAAGGTTTTAAAAGCTAATTAAAAGTGCGGGGAGCAGGGATGGCCGCAAGTTGGAGGGGGGGGAAAAAGGGCATAATGCATCCCAGATCCCTTACGTTCTGGAATTTTCGCCACAATTTTCCTAAATGCAAGCGATCAAATATCAATAAAATGACAAATAAAAAAGAGATGAAGAGAAATGCAAGATCCATTGGTTAGGAATGAATTTGACACGACTAATATCATAAAAGAACATTACAAGAGAACTAAAATGAAAAATAGAAGAAAACTAGTAAAGCAACAATGTTGCGAACCTGTTGGATTCTGGAATAGACATGTTGCAAATATGTGCTGGGTGCGCTTGATAAAGTTTAAACATTAACTTATGAATAGTATAACATCCATATTGAGATATTGATATCTTGACTGTTTTGGTTTTCAAAAGGGGGGGGGGGGGGGAAGACATCTTGACTATAACCCCTTGTTCCTTCGAAGCCTACTGTTAGAATTTGATATTTCCAATTGCAGTTCTTATGGAGAGTATGTTCACCTTTAAACAACCATATTGGCCCAAAAAGACTGTACAACATACTGAATAAAAAAAAAAAAATAGCTGGCCTCGTGTACACTGCACGTCAGATTAAACGGAAATAGCATAAAATATTAACTCGTTTGAGGATAATTACCCGCATTTTTCATATGCCATGGGCACTACCGGGTTGGTGCAAAACACTGCTTGGTCGGACTGACAGAGGGCCTAGCGGCCTTACACTTTGCGTTGATTGAGTTGGCTGAATTATAAGCTGTCTAACTGCATCAGGATATTGCCGACCAGTAAGACTACCACGCATTCGACCTGTGGGCCTCCAATCGGACTCTGACTGCAAATTGAATGAACCATCAGGCATAGGCATTGACTGTACTGGTCCTCTCACGTTTCCACTCTGGTCTCTTTGACTTTGGTTTTGAATTGGCAAGGGTGCTGGCGGTCTTATCATCCGCCCTGCATTCATATCCCTGGCTGGTTGGCCATTCACCGGAGTAATGCCAGATTGTGAACGGCCCAATGGAATAGGAGATCGATTGGAGTCTACAGCACTTGATGACTGACCAATTGATCGACTCCTTGGATTGAGGGCTTGCTGTAGGTGTGCATTTTGAAAATGACGCAACAAGCTGGATGCGGCGTATGGATTTGGTGGTTGACTTGGTACTGAAGCATTAGCCATCTGTGGGGCTCGGTTCTGAGATTCATTGAAAAGCAAAAACATGAATAAAAGTGATGCAAAGGGTTCACGTATTCACTGAAATTGACCTTGAACTACATAGAGGCTATGCAGCACTAGAGGTAATTACACAAGTCGTGCAAATACACTAAAACTCTTAACACTACACACTCACCTGGGCAGATTTATTAGCTAACTCATCATCCTACTCAACACTAAAGCGTAACAAAACACACATAAGAGCAAGCATAACACTAAACGACCACACTAAAAAAAATACACAATCATCATAAAAAGAGCTACAAACAAAATATAAATAAAGACTAAAATAAAGTTCTTCTAAATCACACTAGTTTCCGAAGTATCATGACCAGACTAACAGCAACCGTAGGTTAAGAATAACAAATGAAGGCTCAAACCATGCTAATGAAAATTAAGAAATAATAGGAGAAAGAATGGATTTCAATCTAATGTAACATTACCAAACATCTAAAATGGTACTCTAATAAAGAGCGAATTCCTTGAGACAACCAATTACTGCAACTCATTCTATTAATAATATTAAATATATACTCTTAACAAGCCAAAAAAATTATAAGTAAAACTCATTCCTCAAATATCATGTAATGCATAAAACCCACACGTAATTTCTTCCAATAACCACATTTCCTTCAGGCCAAAAGAAAAAATACACTTCAAACACTGGACAACTTGGAAACCCCCCCCCCCCAAAAAAAAAAAACCAAAAACAAAAACCAAAAGGAAAGACAACAGATCAACCCAGCAAGCTAAGGAAGGAATACAATGGAGTATAGCATGTTACCATTTGAGGTGGGGGTTAAACATTATTCCAGGTGAGGCTAGTTAGCGCAGGAGGGAAAATGTCCTATATACATTATAGTCAACATCTTATAAAAGGAATAGTGGCAGGGACACTGAATAAACTCAACCTGTGTTGGAGAGTGATGCTGCGATATAGATACAGTTGCTCCCACAACCTGAGGAAGATTCACAGTGGGTCGGGAGAAGTGCTGCCGCCTTTCTGTATCACTCACTATAGGACTGAAACCATTGGCTGGGCTGGACCCAGAAACATGAGGAGCAACAGTGGAACTACCAGGTATCAAGGGACTCAAATTAGTTCTTGATCTTTGCTGTGGTCCCAATGCCTGGCATTGTGCTGGGAGTGCCTGAACTGCTACTGGATTCCTATTAACATGTCTTGGTATTTGTTGCGACCTTCCATTCTCTAAGACAGCTGTATTCAAATAGTTTGACTGCTGCATTTGGAAATTGTTTGGCGCAGTAAACTGATTTTGCAGACTCAGGTTAGAAGTAAGGGTGATGCCATGATCCACGGCTTCTTGATTAGTTGCTTGAGCAATGGCATCAGTTAGAATAGGGTGCGCACAGTTGCCAACAATTGTTGGAGGATCTGACCCACCAGAAGTAAGGTGAACTCCAGGCCAAAAGTCATCTTCCGCTTGAGCAGCAACATCTTGATTCACTCCAGCAGAGTTCAAACCCGATGTAGCCAAAATTGAGGTGGTAGGTTGAGTTTGAAGATCTGCCAGGTGAGGCTTTATGTCGGTGGTTTCACCAGCATCCAATATCTCCATGTCATCATCATTGGTGAGGTCCAAAACATCCGGAAGAGCCCCAGGGAAGCTAGGACATTCTTTTGGCTCAGCCGCTTCCTTTCCAGAATTGCGGGCATCATTCTGCATTTTATCCACATCAGCATCATCTCTGAAAACTGCTTTCCAAGACCCATCAGCACTTATGAGCACCTCCGCAACATTGTCACCCACATTTTTAAGGATCTATGTCAACAGAGAAAGAAAGGTTCCTGCCTTTTCACACTTCTGTTGTCAAAGGATATAATGTAAACAAAAGCTTATTAAAAGATTATAGATCTGAATATACTTGCCTCAACCATATTCCGATCAAGGCAAATATCTGGATAACAGACATATTGACTGCAATGAGGGCAGCGCCAGGACGGCCTCCTTGAATTTATGTTGATGAAGTTATCAAAATCAAAACACTGCAGAAAATAAAACAAGGAGAAATCTTTATGAGGAGAAAAAAGAAGGGTATATAGAGTGACGATAGGATCACATTAGCCCACAGATAGCAATATACAATTAACACTATTCAAAACAAGGTATTTATTCTGCAAAATTCAATGCAGATGCTGATATCTTGCATATCTGATAACACCACAACAGCTAAGCAACTCAACGTTTGGCTTGAGCTATCTATAGGCACTTTTATCATTAAAATTGGTAATTATGTATATTCTTACTTGAGGTTTTTTTTGTTTAAAAAACATAAATTTCTCTTCAAAAGAGAAATCTTCGACTGTTCAGTTCATTTCTACAGCAGAAGATAGATTATGAAGCCATCCAACATGATTTGTACATTAGCCAAAACCAGAAAACATCGTTTTAAAGGGGGAAAAAGCACTTTTTCCTTGAAATAATAGTATTTTATCTTTTGCAACACGTCCAGATGTAATTGAATCCTCTGCTGACACTCATTCTTGAGCTCAACCCGATCTGAATCTTCTAGCTTATATTTGGATACTTCGAATCATCAAATCTTATTTAAAATGAGCTGAACTGTTTATGACTTGAGTGTACACTTTACATTGATTTTGATTTTTTTTTTTAATTTAGAAAAAAGTAGAATACAAAATAGACAGACAGGGTCTTCTAACCGCCAACGTAAAGAATTTATGTTAACCAAAAAGAGACCAGTTGCATGCCTATGCAGGCACATATGTGATACAACAAGAGGAAGTACTCGCCTGGAAATGTTTGCATGAGCGTCCCTTTACAGGAGTCTTGATACGTGTAAAGCTGTTTGGCATGTGTACAAGACACGTTATCAGTTTTTATCATAAACCAGAAAGTAAAAACGAAGAGGAAAATAGTTATCTGCCAAAACTAATGAACTCTAGTGATAAATGAACAATCTTAGTCTAACTTCAGCATACTAATGCACTCCAGTGCAAAGATGACAAAATAAGCTACAAATTGAACAAAGCTAGAGCCCATGGAATGGATGAACTGGGTGATGACGGAACCAGATACCACCAAAACACAGAAATATCATTCGGTTATGAAACTCAAAACAATAAAATAGAAATTAATCCCTTTTTGCTCAAACGAACGAATAAGGATTTGAGTACAGCCAAGAAAGAAAGGAAAAATAACCATTCCCTTAGAATTTGAGAGACTAAGGACTCTCCCACAAAATTTTCCCTTAAACCCTTACTGAACCCTCATTACCCAATATATATAGCCAAACCACAGTGCTTTTAAGAGTATTTTTGATCCATTCATTCTTACACGTAATAGATCAAATATTAAACTAAATTTCTTACCCATGTTCTTATTATCAAACCAAACAAATTCATGGCAGTGAACATACCATTCCATTCCATTCCTTATTATTCTATTTCATTTCATTGCCATCCTTTCAAAAAATCAAACAGGCCCTTTGATGCATGAACTGTAAATTGATACACATCATAATTAGTTAGTTGCTTGGCTGGTCAGTAACATCCCTTCTGATCCTATCCCCACCTTCATTCCCCTGCTTAATCCCCTTCTTATGTTCTGTCTCTCCTTCCCCCTCCATTTCTGTTCTTCAATTCTCCATTCCCCCTCCTTTGCTTCTATCTTCTCTCCCTAAAACTCCTCTTTTTGCATTAGAACAAGTGTGCATGTGTCGCATCAGCTAGGAATCAGGACTAATGAGCCTTCAAATGTATGCGCATGATTTAGATTTTTACTAATAATTAGAGATTCGATTGCTTTAACAATTTGTTCTGTATGGTTGCATGGTGAAGAAATTCGCCTGAATTAAAATTCTATTCAGTGCAATATATTTTATTCTCATTAGACAGCAAAATATAAAAATGAAGGTAACAAGCCTGCCTCCTCTAACCAGATAATCTTGAATAAACCTAATACATTAATTGGGATAAGATAAACAGATTCTATCCTATAATATTTTAAATAAAAAAAGAATAAAACAGATATGTTTTGAAAATAGGGTTAATATAATCTTTTTTTCTTTTAACGAAAGGGGTAATATAATCTTTGGTCCCTCAAGTTTTTTTTTTTTTGGAGGGTTGACTTCCCAATATCCAGTGCCTTTGGCAACTAACTAATCCGGTGCTGGGTGTGGTGAGACCTTTCAGCAGCAGCCCCTCCCAGCAGATATTTTCTCTATTCCCAAGGCTCGAACTAGAGGTCCCATACCACTTGACCCAACATGCGTTGCTTTGGTCCCTCAAGTTTAAACCATAGGTTTTGATCCCTCAAAAAGCAAAATTATATATTTTTTTATTGAATTATAAGGACCAATGTTTTAAATGAAAAGAAACTTAAGGGACCAAAACCTATGATTTGAAATTTGAGGGACCAAAGATGATATTAACCCTTAAAAATAAAATCATAACAATCTGAACAGGGGCACCGCACAGAAAGCCCAATATGGGCTAGGTTTTGTGCCACAAAGCCCATTTGAATTAGGACTTTAGGCGTTGCTCTTCAACACATTGTCATGATTCATCACATCCAACCACTCGTAAACATGTTGCTGATTAACATTAAAAAAAAAAAAATGCAGCAAATGAAGCTGATTACCCCTATCACTCAATTTCAAAATTAGATTAATCATTTGTTTGGATCCTTCTGCTTTAAGGTTGGTCACGACCACTACCGTTCAACAGTGCCAAAGAAGTCCACCAATCTTTTCTGATGGATAGATTCCACGCACCAAGAGACACTCAAAAACAAAGCAAGCAGAAGCTGGAAAAGAAGGAAGAGAAGGACCACAATTATAAACAACTAAGATCAGAACATACCTTATGGGACAAGTAAGTGAAATTTGTGATGCACCCTCCATTATATCAGAATCTAATTATTCAAAAAAAAATAAAAGGAAAAGAAAGAGAAACAACAAAGTCATGCATTCAACATCGAACCTAATCGTGGAAAAATAATAATGTGCTATGATCTGTAGTCTAACTAGAAAAAATGAAGTAGCAATCATTTTATTGAACTACTTATGCTAATTATCCAAGGTATACCTGAATCGAGTGAGGTAACAGCAGGCGGAACATAATCTGGAATAACTGCATTCTCCGGCAAAGATTTGTGGCTCATAAAGGCAACAAGAACTAGATAATGACCTTCACAATGATTAAGTAAAAGTCAAATATATTAATGCCATGAGATGATAGAGAAAATTAGAGATTTATGTTAAATGCTCACCATAAAATTGGCCAACAACCTGAAGAAGATTCGTTCCATATTTAAGCATACCAGTCACATTTGTTGGCATTTGTGGTTCGGGCTCCTAGAAAATGCAGTTAAAATTTGAAAGCGGAAAAAAGAAAAGAAAGAAAGAAAGAAAAAAAGAGGGTAATGCCAAGCCCATGAAAAAAGTCTAGTGAAATGTTTTAGAATATATATCAGCAAGCATAAACCAACCCACCAAGACATTAGTCCTTCTGCCTACGCCCTTTCCATTGAGAAGAAAGCTACAAAAGATAGCATAAATATTAATTAGCCTCAAGATAGGATTCCTTCCACTTCTGCACAATTAAAGTAAAAAAAGTTAGAAATGACCAAACCTGACTCGTTGAGGAGTTATGAGGCATGCAGACGTCTCTAAGTTATCTATATGTGCTACAAATAACCACTGCAAGTGAAAATAAGACATAGGTCAGCTGTATAAAATATAAGAGAATTATTTGGGAGACCTCGACTTATTGCATTTATATCTTGTGATGGGATAATGAGTAGTTGCTGACCACGTAGTGTATCTTTACATATATTGTAAAGATTTGCTATCGTTCTATAAATTTCCATGCTTTGCATAATGTTTTTTCAGTCAATGAAATGGATCCGAAGTCATATGGTTTTCAATTCCACATGGTAGTATATTCTGATCATTCTTTTTGCTTCTGCTTGCTCTTCTCAAGTAGTGTGAGAGAGAGTTATGATTATGACTTAGGGCAGATTGAGTATGCCATTCACTGGGGGCCGTTGCGGTCAGCTCCCATTGCGGGATAATCAAAAGCATCTAATCAACCAGTCCCTGAATTCCAGCAGCCATCTGTGAAGTGTGTGGCTATCATGTGTCAACAGAAGAAAGTTCAGCCTCGTCCAGCAAATGAAGGTGCATGTGGCAACTGTTCCTCCAGTGATTGATTTTGACAGCGCCAAACGCACTATTGCTAGTCAAACTCAGGTTGTTTCCTACCACTGCAGCGTTGGGTGTTGGGAATATGGTATTACGGAAGATCATAGCATATGACTCGTGTTTCAAACAATGGGAATCTCCCTTTGCTGAGGAATAATCTCTTTGATTCAGGGATCGGTGAGAGAGACAAGGTACCTTCAAAGAAGGTTTGTGACAGCATTTCTAGAGGCAATAGAGGCAAGTCTGTTTAGTCTATGTGAGATAATGAAGTCACAGCTCAAATTTTCTGAGACCGACATGACTTCTTACATCAATCAGAGTTCTATTACCTCAGTGTTACCAGCCCAGAAAGTTAAGTTCATTCAAAAAATCTTCAAGAAATAAAACACTATGGATTGTTGACTCTGGAGCATCAGATCATATGACTAACTGCTATCAAGTATTTTCAACTTATGTTCCATGTGCCTAACATCTAAAGTTAACAAAGCAGATGGATCTCTTGCTCTTGTTGACTGGGAAAGGGAAGCATTTGTAATTCAGATTCTATTACTATGGAATCAATCCTTCATGTGGCACAATCTAATTTATTGTCCATTAGCCAAATGACTGCACAATCCAACTATTTCGCTAAATTTTTCACATCCCATTGTGTTTTTTAGGACCTATCATCAAGAATGATGATTGGTGATGGTAAGGAGTACAAAGGACTCTATTACACCATGTTTACAAGTCAAATAATTTAAAAGATTCTTACAATTTTATCTTGCAGAGGCGCTGTACTCTTTGGAATATGGAAATCAGCTGCAAAAGCTCCATATCCAGGCTGCATTGTAGGCAAAACATAAAGGAATATACAATATGTTATCAACAAAAATACGAAACTATAAATTAGACAGTGCCTTAGCAACTACCTTGACTTCAAGTGATGCAAGTATCAGCCCCATTTTCAATTTTGGATAAAACCTGCAAAGACATGCACATGAAGAAACGGCTATATCATGTAAAGGGAATGGCTCATCCAAGATCTAAAATTTAGTCCTTCTTGAAATAACATGCACCAATCATAGCGGACGACCTCCAGGCTCCAGGAAATAAAGACACTCATGCAAGAACTCTTAACTGTGTATAGTAAATAAATTTTTCACTAAAACCCTATATAATTCTCTAAATATGATCTAGAATCCATTGATTACCTAAAAACTCCAGGTACCATCAGTACTTATCACTATAATTTTGCTCCAATTGCATCCTTCCAAAGGTACTAAAATGATGCTACACAACCCTCCAAGGACAAAATATTTGATAGCCAAAACAAAGTTAACTATTCTGGTACCATAGTGATGGAAATATTTGAGAAGTCATTTGATAGTGGAGTGACCTTTCAAAGACCAAAATAGGGCTTTGGTCTAAATTGTTTTTGGGGAAAAAACTTACTCAACTTAGATTCCGTGTTGTAACAAAAGTTAAATAACAACAACAATTCTAATTCCACTAGGTGGGATTGACTTTGTACTCTATCAACAACTAAATTTTTGGATAAATTGTCAAAAGGTCCTGCTCCATAACTTCATTGACTGTTCTCTTTGGTTTTCTTCTATCCCATTTCAAAAAGTTCCATACTGCTTAATCCAACCTCTTTACTGGCCCGTCCAATGACCTTTTTTTGTATGTATCTAAACAACCCTCAAATGATTTTTTCCCATTTTCTCTTCAATACATGCCGTGACAACTCTTCCTCATATATGTTCATTATGAATCTTAAAGCATGATTTTTTCATGAAAACCAATCATTCTTATATTTCATAGTTTTTCCCCATTTAAGGCATCATTTAAACCAAGCACTCATAAATTCAGTACAAATGTAAGCAAGATTACATGCATGAGAGTCCACGCAAAGATGGTAGATAAAAATTATAAAAATAACCACGAAAACTCTGACGTGCTTACCACCAAACAATTGTAATAATAAAAATGTCTACAGATTATAAAGATCTTTGCAATTCTCATAATAAAATTTAATGTTTACCCTTCAGGACAATTGCAAGCTACATAAAAACAAAGCAAATAATTTTCCGTTCTTTTATGTAAATTAAAATTATTATTTGAAGAAACGCAATAGAAGCCATGGGGAGCAAGTGATAAGGAGTCCAACCTTTCCATTATTGTTGAGATTGAGGACTGGTAATGACTAGATCCAGCATCAACATCCCTGGTACTACAGTAGCTCTTCCCCATCTGAATAAAGAAAGATTATCATCATAAATAAGATGATAACAAGCAACATTGTACACACGGAATAGATATAAGTATACCTCATCAAAAATAGCCAAAAGATCTTTATTGTCTTTCGGGCTGAACCATTCAAGGTTGCAAGCATGCTGTGTGAGCAGAAGATCCACAAATAAATCAATGTTATGGTGCCTAACTAGAAAAGCAAACTAAATGACATCATATCATATACACTAAAAAGGGATCCACGATCCAAATTAGTCTCCACTTGATCACAATAATCAATGATTAAATTTTAAATTTGGGAGGATGACAACTAAGGACCTCAGAAGAAGGTTAATACCAAATCAAGACCCCATTACAGCTTAAATTCCCAGATTCAGTATTCATTGTCCTGTATTTCAACACTGCAAATCTTTTAAAAAAAAAAAAAATCCTAATCTAGCATGAACACTCATATGAGTTCCTTAGTTGTCACTCTTTAACCAATGACAGAAAAGAACAGAAATTAAAGAATTTAAAGTAGACTAGGGGATCTATATGATCATCATTTTGACACTATAAACAAATTATTACTCGTGAATTTTAAAGAAATTCAATTAAGGGACATATATAATCATTAATCTGATTATATAAACAAAATATTACTCCTTAAATTACTCCTGCTATAATCTCAGATTCAGGGATCTACATTATCTTAATCAAATTGGTAGTACCAAAAAATAAAAAAAATAAAAACTCAAGAAAACTCTTTTTATGATGTGAGTTTTCACGTGACACATGACAATTGCAGAATAGTTCACTTAAGTTCTTCTATAGTCAACTAGTACTCTGCCTCATAACTGATTAGTTCTCTAAATACTTTAAAAGATTGAGAAATAAATGGAGTCATTATAATTAATGGCCATTCAAAAAATTATTAATAGCATTATCACAAAGAAATGCACATCACTGGATGTTTTTACCTTTACGGATATCATCAGAACCATAATAGCTGCTTGTAAGAAATTATTATTTTTCTGTTGACATATCTGCAGAGAATAGGAGAAGTAAAATATTTTTTACTAGCTTCTAATTTACATGCTTGATATTATAATCATTAAAACCAAGAAGCATTGTCCCGGGCCCAAAAGTGACATTTGGATCACTCAAAATCACCTGTTTCAATAATTTAGGCAAATCTTGAGCGTTCATGGGAATTTGGTTACGGGCAAGTGCATAATCAATACCTCTGTCAAAGTGAATTTCATCAAATCTGTCACACTTGCGAAATAGTGAAATAAACTCAACTCAATCCACAACAACTAAATATCAAGTCAAATTTCAAAAGAATGAACAGTACACCCTATGCAAGAGCTATGCCAATGAGAAAACAAGGCAATACTGAACCCTATCATGATTATAAGGCAGCAGTATGAAATCCTAGAAAATAAAGAATAATCAAATAATTTTCTTCTTCAAAGATGATTACAAAGCATCACAGAAACTACTGCAAAGCAAAACACAGTTAAGAATGTTGAAAATTAGAGGGTCAGACTTGAAAACATATGACTTAAACAATTTAAGAAAAAGCAACGAAACCAAATGCAAATCATTAGCAATCCACATAAAAATAAAGAAAAAATTATAAATCTAATAAGTATATTTGTAAAACAGGTTGGACAGCTTGGCTCCCGACTCAAGACAAGTAGTCTTTATTTATGTTTATTTTATCCATAGATGTGTTTGAGCCCAGATAATCATTATCTAAGCAATTTTTTAGGATGCTAGTTCAGTAGCTTAGTAAGATTAGGATTAGAATTTTGCCTTCAACAGCTTAGGGTGCATTTAGGAGTTTGGAGTGGAACAGATTAACAGAACTTAATGTAAGATTGTTTGGGACTTTTATGCGAGGAATGAATTATCTTATTTAACCATTGTTTGGAAATTATTATAAAATAGATGGAATGGAACGGATTATAAATTTTTCTTTTCAATATAACCCTTCATAGGCTAACTTAGACGAGAGGGCGTGAATATTGCTTTAACCTTCTCATATTGCATAATAATTTGGTAATAATACCTTCCAACAACAACAATTCAACTACATTAATATGCGTATTAACTATTGCGCTAAAGAGAAGGGTAGAATAACTCAACACAATGGGGATTGTAGGAGACGAGTCCAAAAAAAATGCATAAGATAGGACGAGAGCTTAGTGCCACACAGTAGTAACAAGATATACATGGTTAATATTGCCAAATTCGTTTGTAAGCATTAATTAGGGGTAGTTTCGTAATTACGACAGTAATAGACAATCATTCAATCCTTGAGTCCAACCCCACCCCCCGGACAATTCAGAAGGAAAGAAGAAATTGAGTTTATGATATTAAGATATGGCTTAGGAGACCATTCCTGACCATTCCACCTCCTCTGAGGGGGGGGGGGGGAATCTTCCAAACAATAGCTTGAGCCCCTTAGCCATCCCACTCCATGCCATTTGCCTCTAAAAATTTAATAGAATAAAGTAGTTATGCCTTTGAACATTGAGTATTGTGTTGAGAAATTTGAGACTTTGCGATTATAGGTTGTTGTTTTGCCTTCCATACTGTGACAACACTTATTGCAGCAGAAATTCAAATTCAGTGCCTTCTCTATGTAGCATGAGATGTGTTTTCAAACATACTGCAAGCCATATGAGTTATAAAATTGCAATGTCTTCCATCAGAAAACATGCATACAAGAGAAAAATTCATCTTCCTTGACACCAAGTAAAGAAGTAGTAACGGAAACACGATAAGCATCCCCATTAATATATCATCATCAACAAAATAGACAATGATCCATAAACAAAAGTATCCTCGACATACTTTTAGTTGTTTGATTTATTATTACTCATCACTTCTATTTATTCCTACCATGGGGTTAAAGATATAAGTGGGCACTTCAAATAAATGCCAATCCTGCAAGACTTTCTATCCTGCCCATAGAAGCTTAGTAACCCAAAATTTATTTATAAAAAAAAAAGGATAATATATTGAAAAGCCATGAGAGCATTACCTATCTGTGAAAAAGTTCGTACATGTCTAAGAGACGGATAACGCCACCATGCCAACATCCTAACAGAGTACCTATTTGTATCTATAAATAGCCAATCACAATTAATATTGTCAAATTTTTATTTCTAATTTCTTTAGTAACCCTCCTACACCCTGATTCAGCAAAAATGACATCGGTCACTCTGTTGGCGCTTAATAGGCATATGCCCAAAAGAAATGGAGAAAATGACGAATGAAGAGCACTCGACTGACTTTGTTATCCATTTTCGTCCCACTACAACTTTAGACGAGTCCTCACAATACCGCTGTAAACTCCTCGAAGTAATGTTATTTCATGAAAAAGCTGCAGTTCCTCAACTAAACACAAACACATTACTATTCAACACCACTAAGTTAACACAAAAGCTCGTGGAACCCAGAATAAAGAATTATATGCGGAATAAACAAAGAAAAAGACGGAGATTAAATGCCCCAACAAAAAGGAAAAAAAAATACCTCGAGAGGGAGAGGCAGAGGTTGAAGAATTCAACAGGGTCAGACGGGTGGCCAGGCTGCAGATGCCGAGCTAGTCGGCCAGCGACGAAAGTGATTCCGTAGGAATTGACCAACGATGGCGAGAAATCGTTTGCAACTCCAGCCTCGGGTCCGGCTAACGGTGGCCTCGTTAACATGGTGCTGCTCATTCCTAAGGACCTCGCGTTGCCGCACCGACCTTTTGTTCTTGAAGAGAGCAAGGGGGTTAAACCGTAAGGTGCAGCCGTGCAGGTTTAGTAACCGAGCTCCAGGAGCACAATGGATTTAAATTGTAGTACTTCTAGAAATCACAATGAGGTCTTCCGGAGTACTACAGTATCTACAATATAAAAGACAGGGATTGGAATGAAAGATTACTTGTGGAATTTTAGCATATGACGGAGGAGGTTGTATTTCCTAATTTTACCTTTATAGTTTATGTAATTTCAGGGTAACAAGTAATTAGTTATGTTAAATATTTTTTAATAATTTTTTAAAATTACAATCCCAATTTTTATTTGAAAAAATAGCAAATAAAAACTCATCAATAGGTAAATTGTAATTTGGGACTCTTAATTTAAAAAATAGCAAATAAAAACCCGGTCTCATATTATAAATATGAAATTTTGGTAAAATTTCTAAAATGCTCCTCAGCTAAGTTCTGATTTGATTTACTAAAGTTGTCATTCGTTAAAGTGAACTTGTCATTTCCCATAATCAACTTGTCATTTAATATACCCTCAGTTAAGTTGTAATTTGGTCTATTGAAGTTGTCATTCACTAAAATGAACTTGTCATTTCTCATAGTCAACTTGTCACTTGACTGAAGGGCATTTCAGATATTTTACCAAAATTTCATATTTGCAGTGTGGAACCAGGCTTTTATTTGTCATTTTCCAAATTGAGTATATCAAATCGCAATTTTACATATTGAGAGTCTTTATTTATTATTTTTTCTTTTTATTTTTTATTTTCAATGCTTTTACCAAACACTATTAAAATGGGCTCAATCCTAGACCAAAAAACAAGAATTCTCTGCTTGGTTTTTTTGATCAAATGACGTCTTGAAACATTGGGTTAACTAGAAGGTGCTTCCTCCCTGCAAAGCTTCTCCAACTACAGTGTAAATTTTATATAATCTTTTTTTAACAATTACAAAAACCATGTATCAAACTTTAATACTACCTCCGATCCTTAATATAAGATTTTATTTGACTTTTAATTCGATCTAAATATAAGATCACAATCTACTTTGTCTCTCATATTTATGTATTTTTTTAAGAAAGTCCTTTTAACAATAATAGTTCTAACCAATACACTTGCTTAGCAAGGATATTTTAGGAAAGACAACACCTATTTATTACAAATAACTAACTTAATTTCTTTCTTTAATATCCTCAAATTAGTCAACTAACTCTTATAATTAGGACCAGAGGTAGTACATGGTAATAAAAACACTTTCTAAATGTAATTTAAATGAAAACATAAAGCTCACATTGAAAACAAAAAAAATCTTTAAAATTATAAAATAAACCATAGAAAAACTGTGATTTAAAATTAAAAATAGAATGACATGAAATATTTTACATTAAATGGATAAACCAAATAACTTCTTGTCATTGAGCTATCTCATATTTGTTTTCAACACTTATTAAAATAAATTGAAACCCTCTGCCCAAAATGCTCATCTGATAATTGCAACAATGAACTTGAAGGAAGGGATGTAATTTTGGAAAAATTATAATAAGATCTTAGAGAAAGAAAATAATTACTAAAAAACCCCAATAACAACATAAGTAGCCTATAATGATAAGTTTCAGAATAGAAAATGATAACTTCTAAAATTTGTTTTATAATTATTATTTTTATTGAGACTTGATTTCACATCAATGCAAAATGAAAATACTTTTTATCACCGTGTTGGAGGAACCAACTCTTTTTTCATTCCTACATAACAATGTTCTTTTCATCTATAAATCCATTTATTTAAAGAATTGACGGGTTACTTAAAAATCATAAACATCAGCTTTCTTCGAGCAAACCAGTAAGAACCAACTTGCTATATTAAAAAGCAATATCTTTAGCATAAGATGCATAAGCGCTAAATAAAAACATAAATTCAGCAGGGATTTTTAAAATGAAATTATGCCATATTCATCATTGGCATCATCAACTTCTTAATATAAAATATTTTTTGAAAAAAAAAAGTGAAGTTCACGTCATCATAACATTTCAATCTACATACAATTCATACTCTAGATATCCACTCCATACATTTTTAATATTGACATGATTATTAAATTCAAACTATATAAGCTCGTGAGGTGATTTAATCAGGCCCCCCAACACCAGTTCCTTTGCGCCATTCTCATTTCTCAATCGCTTCAAAACAAACACCCACCCCCAACCAATTCCCAATCAGACATACATTTCACACATCATCAACTTTAGAGACCATAGATAGTGATCCTTTCTCTCACACATATTCATTATAATCTACTAGCACCTCCACATGTGGGAGATACTCCTCAGTCCTCACATGATCCTCGCATCAAATCTGGCGAGGGCAATTCTGTCTTCCAATTCCTGGTCTTCCTTCTTCATTGCATTTGGTTGCTTCCATGGATCCTTGCCCCTTTTGTTCGGTTCACCCCTCAAGACTCCCGTCACCTCCAGGCCTACACTTTCCATCGTTGTTATAATGTTAGTCATAGCACAGCTGGAGAGACAATAGGAGAGAAATCAAGGATGAACCATAAGGATTTAAAAGAAAAAGATCTGTATAGCAAACTTGGAGTTGGGAAACAATTCGAAGGGTCTCTTTGGGAGGTAGGCTTGAAGAAACAATGGCTTCTGCGGTTTCTTTGCTGGTATGCACAACATCCATAGCCGTTCAATGTTTCCCATCCGCTCGAAGTGAACGTTTCATTGTAGGTAGTTTGACTTTGGTACATAGACCTAAGCTTTGTGATTGTGGCTGCACCTTCTTCTCGCAGAAGGAAAAGGAAGGTAAACTATTCGACTTTGTAATTTTTGGGATGGGGGAATCGTTTAAATACTAATACTGTCAATTACTGTTTGCCTAGAAAGGACTTAAGTAAAGAATAGGAAATTGGGTGTTCTAACATTACAAGCCATACCAGTGTAAATTTGGGCCTCGCTGAACCAAATTGGTAGCCATTTTAAAAGAGAAAATGAATTTCCTGAGATTGATATTGTGTTGGTCTAATTGGCTTGATGACCATAATACATCGAACCGAATCACTGGAGTGGAAAAAGAGTTCACAAGAAAAATCTGGAGAGGAAGAAGCACTAGTAGACCCCATTCTTCCATTGGCTTAAATTATGATAGGATTGCATTACAAGAGAAATGAGATGATTCAAAATTCAAATTAAAATTTCAAAATATGTGTCTATAGCACACAGCCCCATTTGTGTGAGCCATATAACACAAAGCCCAATAAAGTTATTATGAAGCCACATACCTCTTATAAACAGTAAAATAAGTATGAAGAAAAAAAAAAAAAGCCATTTAAGTCATGGCTTTAATGGAAGACTATTAAAAGGTATATTGATTCAAGGTTTAAAAAAAAAAGTACATTAATTAAAAACTTGTTTTTACCTAAACACTGAGGTAAAAACTTGAGCGGGTTGTACATAACCTCCTAATATTTTAAAATTTTAACTTAACCCATGTAACCTTTTATTTTTATTACCATAGAACTATTACTGCTAAGTGGTTGACTAGTAGGCACATGACATATTACATGTCATCTTATATAAGTTAATAATTTCATAAAATCTCCTTAAATTTTAAGAAAACTCCCTAAATTTGAGAATATTAAATTTAAATTTTGAAATTCCAGGGACGCTACATACAAGTGGTATAAAGTTACAAAGGTTTTATAAGATTAATAAATAATAAATCACATGAGGTGCCATGTAGATGACACATGTTATTCTAATGATCTGGCGTGTCAATTTTTATATTAAAAAAATAACAATAGCTTAATGTCAAGAGATTCATGATAAAAAGAATAAAATGTTATGGGGTTGAATTTAAACTTTGAAATGTCAGATAAACTATACTTAAAATTCAAGAATTTTGTTTAACTTAACTGATATATTGATGATACTAAAAGGCTTGACATTTTAAAAGACAACAATGCCCTCCACATCATTATCATTTTCCAGACTCTAATCAAACATATTTGAGTCATGCAGGGGGTACTTTTAGGGATAGTAACTCTGCCACTCATGCCGCTATATTTCCAAGTTGAACTTAAAACTTCTGATGAAAATACAAAGATTAATGTGCTTTTCTTGGGATCTGAAGCTTCAACATATTTCTGAAAAATTAAATCATGTCGTTAATGCTATAGCTTAAGAGGGACTATCTACTCCTTCTATTTTGGATCATTGCCCAGAATATTTTAAGAATTTGTGCTTGAAACATAGTTTGGGATTCAATCTCCTCTTAGATTAATTTCTTTTTTTGTTTAGCCCTGTTGCCTCTTTTCATTTGTATCAAAAAAAAAACTTAAAACTTCTAATTAAACTGGGATAGCTTCCTATCCGGTTGATCCAAGGTTCAATGATACAAACAAATCCTTGTTGAAATGGTATTTTTTAAGATAAAACAGCATACAATTTAGGTACAAATTTTCACCCTTTCCCGCGCAAATTCCAACACTTCTTTGGGAAAAAAAGGTTTGTTATCGATCATTGTTCAACATGCGTGAGATGAGATACTGCAACTCATAGCCAAAGCCATTCTCCTCTTGTCATGACTGCAAAGCCATGCAAGAACTGATATACGCACATGATCACCTTCTCTTGGACCCCGTTGAGGCAAAATAGTTTGAGAAGACAGGCCATTGTTGATAACTTGATATTTAACATAGCGCATGACCATTTTAGCCCTTCCGATAGGAAATCTCATGGCCATAAGCTGGGGGGAAAGACCAAGACACTTAGCTATAAATTTTGGCCACATCTAGCTTATTTGCCCACCAACTAGTCCTATTCTTATTTCTTGATGTTGCATTTTGTCAGTAACCATATCAGTAGTAATCCTTCATTCAGGAAAAACATTCTAAAATTGAATCATCGAAACATACAAGATTGACTTCAGTCTAATACTTAGAAAATGTAATCTTGCAAATAACATTATAGAGGCCAATGGGATGAAAACCAGTTGGAATCTCTCCGGATAATCAAACTTTATAATGGGAGCAAGAAAAGTATGAATCAAAGGATCAACAGAATTGAAGAAAGCTAGCATGAAATTCATGTGGCCTACGAATACCATCAGGTTGCATATTTTTAACATTAAGATTCACCTCAAGATGAGGTATTGCCGTATTGGTTTTTAAAGTCATCTAACATGAGGCTGAGACCAATCCAGAATTTCCAAATTATGTAAGGCTTCAGCAATCAAAGAAGCATCATAGAGTTCTCTGCATAGTAAAGCCTGTGAAAGAAGTATTCAGGCTGAGACATCGTCTTTTAATATGCCAATATACCTAATAATTAGTTGTCACCGGAAAAGGAAAAAAAAAAAAAAAAAACCAGTGAATTGAATCAGAAGTAGCTCGCTTTCCAATTTTCTAACGTTATGTTCTGTTTTGCCCAGCTTAGTTTCATTCCACATCTGCAATGCACTTATTGAGACTTGTATAACATCCTAATTAACATATAGAAACCCCCCACGTTCATTAATTGCCAGACTTCTTTCACCAATTGTTCGCATCAATGAAAATGCAATTCTCATAGCGAAAAGGCTTGCTTTGTATGCTGATGCAAACTCTCCGATTCCTCCATCCAAGCGGTTCCCAGAGCATCAGTACTCGTTCACTCCATCAATTGTTATATACTTCGGCCCATGTCATCTACAGTTATATTATCACAGTCATTTTAAAAATTATGAACTACTCCTCCGGTCCTTAATATAAGACCCATTTAACTAATTTGATTAGATTAAGGAAGTTAGGTAAGTTAGTTAATTATAAGGAAAGTGACACATTTTTCCTAAAACACCATAATCATCTTTCTTAATACCACCTCTCCCTCTTCTACTTGATTATAGTTGAGGGAGTATCCATAGGGGTAATTTAGAGAAAATTGATAAATATGAGAAATGGGTCTTATATTTAGGACCAAAACCAACTCAAGAATTGGGTCCTATATTAAGGACCGGAGGAGTAATATAAAGCTCTTGGGTAAAAATAAAGAACAGAAATAACTCACATAAACGCATACATGGTATAACATTCCCCCTTTCTTCATCTTCGTGTTTAGCACTCGTTATAAAATACGTGCACCATCTGGCTCACTTATTTTTCATGAATAGGAATCCTTCTCACCTTTTGCTAATGCTCCTTTTAACTCCAAGGAAAAATAAATAACACTGAGTTCTTCATATAAAAACTAAATCACTAATTTGGGAATATGAAGAAAACTAATTAAACTAGTTATGTTACAAATGTATGATAATCTCCATAAACTATCATCTTCAATAATTTGTATAGGATTATTAGAATTATCTTTTCGTAAAAGCCTCTTATAATCAATAAAGATGTTTTAAGAAGAGATGAGAAATAAAGTAAACTAAAATTTTATATTTAAGACTAAATACAACCTCTAATTAGCTCTTATAGTATAAATAAAAATTAATATAGAATACATGAAATTGAATAAACAATGTATTTAAATAATGTTTTTCATATATTATACGATATGATATAACTTATCATATATTTTATACTCTTCCGATCCTTGATATAAGACTCATTTAACTAATATAATTAAATTTTAAAAGTTAGATAAATTAATTAATTATAAGAAACAGAACAAGTTTTTTCTAAAACATCATTATATTTGTCTTCAATATTCTCCCTCTCTCAATTATGATTAAGGGAATATCAATACTAATAATTTTAAAAAAATTGATAAATATGATAAATAGGTCTTACAGTTATGACTAAGATCAATTCAACAATCAAATCCCACATAAAAAAGAAGAGTATTTTATAGTGATACTGGTATTGATTGAGCCAAGTTGATGTAACTCGAAATGGAAATTTCGAAGGATTATAAGCTATGAATGTCGCCAACTAATGAAGTTTGAATATCGATTTTACATTTAAAGAAGAAAGAAATAAGCCATTTAAAAGGAAAGCCCGGGGTGGGGGGGGGGGGAGGGAGGGACCTTATCCCTTGTCAGTCATCAGTTGTTGGTTGTCTGTTAAAGAAGGAAGCCATCGTACAATAAACCTTGTGAATCATGACTAAAGATGAACAATAGGAGCCTCCATCCCGCCCAACAAACTTGAGTTACCGCTTTGATGTTGTGTTCATCAACCCTTCCCCTGAAATAACAAGGGTAAGATGAAGTTATTTATACAAGTTTCCAGGATTTTCAAAAAGTTTTTTCACGTATACAGACAATAAAATTTAGAAAACGACAAGAAATGCCACACAAGCCCACAAATTTTGCGCGCGCACATGGCCTAAGCAGTAGAAGAGGGGCGCCAACGTTTTGGCCCCTGAAAGTAGGATAGCACTTCTCTTAAAGTGAACAAAAGTCCATTCTTTTCATTTGAGAATTAGTGGAGGCTAAAGTAACTTGACATGGACAACAGAAAAATCCACAAACCATAGTCACCCCACCCCCCCTAGATTGTCAGAAACAATAAATTCCATGCGAATTTGCTGGTCTGCAATGGCCCCGCACAAATAAACCTCACATCTCGAAATCACAGACAATACAATTTTTTATGAATGAAAATTCATAAAGAAAATCCACACATTTCGTTGATATGTGCACCAATACATTCAGATTAACTACATATTTGTCAATATTCCAAGTATAGTTACTTTGACCAGACTCGTCAAACCTAATGATTTTGTTTCCGATTTACATCCAAAAGTGCACATGTATGCATCCACAGAGTCATAAAGAACAAATGTAGATACTGAGAAGTGCATGCGTATAAAATGATTCCCATTTGTTTTTACCTTATGGGGTGGAGTTCCTGGTCTTTGCGAGTTGTTTCCAAATCCACCTTTCCCTTTCTTGTCAGAAGCTTTGAGAATCTGGAAAGAGCATGTCAAGGTGTCATCCACACTCATCATAGCACCAGCATTATCAAACTCGCCACAGTAATTTGGCGCAGAGAATATGGTCACTAGCTGACGTTTTGCAAAAAATTCATATCCATCTTCAACAACCTGCCATCCAGTGGCCAAAATTTTACATGAGCCATCAGTTCAGATCTTCAGCCTCCCTTAATTAAGAATAATTCAAAGAACAGTAAACCATGCAAAAGGCAAGCATGTTATCATAGATAGAAGCGTACGATGCAAAAGAGTAATTATAGCAGCATGGATAGAAAACTAGAGAATGTACAATAAATTAACTGATAAACAGGTAGAAGAACCTGATATTAATGTAACACATAAAAGCCCATGTGTTAGGAGAAGACCATTTCAGTTGCAGATTGTGACCACAAATAAAACAAATTCATAGAAACAGATTATCGTTGTTAGAGGCACAGCGAACATGAGAGAATCAAAGAGAAGTAATGAACAGAGACAAAAGATGGAAGGCACAGTAAAATTTCCAGACAGTCACAGACAGGCAATAGCCCCATGTGGAGAAAATCTGAGGTGCATGGAATGCGGGTGCATTGGATAACTGAGGTTTCAACCGTAAAAGTGGGTCCCTTGCTCCCATATTAGGCAGAAATCTCAGTCATCTATTGTTCAATCCCCCAAGACTATTCCACAAGCAAGGAAAGTCATCCTTGCATAGCACTATCCTAATCATCTGTCACTCATTAATTTAAGTGCCTTAATATGACAACCTTTAAGTACTTTAGCCTCAATCTTGAGTCCAGCCCATCCGAAGTGTTGCCAGAGGAACACACAACGAAACATGAAAGGTGAATGATCATGAACACTATAAGTTGGGCTCACTAGTCACTCTTAACACACACACACACACACACACACACAAAATAAAGACCTTTGCTTGTACAAGTGCTACACACACACACACACACACACACACACACACACAAAAAGACCTTTGCTTGTACAAGGTTGTGAGCACTTCCTCCGCTGCAGTCCACTTCATTTTTTCACAAAATCTCATGCATATAAATTCCATGTTCAAGATGCATGTTAAATGCAGAGTTTTGAAGCTGAAAATCCCAATGAGTAGTTATATGTTACATAAAATTCTCAGCATCAACAACGATCTATTTTTATGAGCAAATTACATAAATATAGCAAAAGATGGTCAATCCAAAAGAAAGTTGGTCCAAAATTCATGTCTTGTTACCTGGTGAGCTCTGCAAATCAGATCAAGATCATGTTCCCCAAGAAATTCAACAACCTTGTCGGCTCCAAATGTAAATGAGACACCCCGGTCATTTTCTCCCCAGCCATCAAGATCTTTATCAGGATCAGCCCAGAGCAGGTCGCAGAGAAGGCCCTGATCAGGCACATCAATAGGGCGAACAATATTTCTTATCTGATCCAAATTTTTAAGATCAGGAGATAGTCCACCATGCATGCAAAGGATCTTCTCATCTATAAGAGCAGCAACCGGCAAACAATTAAAGCAGTCTGTAAATGTCTTCCAGAGGCGAACATTAAACCTCCTCTTGCACTCATCATAAAATCCATATATACGATTGATGGAAGCACATTCGTGGTTTCCCCTGAGAAGAAAGAAGTTCTCCTTGTATTTGATCTTGTATGCAAGGAGTAAACAGATTGTCTCTATGCTCTGCTTACCACGATCAACATAATCCCCAAGAAACAAATAATTGGCTTCTGGTGGGTATCCTCCATACTCAAACAACCTTAAAAGATCTGAAAACTGGCCATGAACGTCTCCTGGAAATGCGATGCACAAGACAGATCATAGTCACCCAATGTTCAATATTTTCAGATACAAGGGTAAACACGTTATTACAAACTACCGTTGAAACTGTACATGATTATTGGTGAGGAATCTCTCCTGTAAAATTAATTTGATTTATTTGTTTTTGAATTCATGAGGATGTTTACACTTTCTATTTGTCAAATCACACTGCAAGAAGAATTATAAAGCAGTATCAGAAACTCAAGATCAGGTCAACCAATGTCAACAACAAGGGAAGAAGATTAAACAATTACCCTTAATCAGATAGAGATGACAACACACAAAAATGCAAGCTGGAAGTTGATGGGTATGTTCTGCATAATGGAGATAGTGCATGTGGAGGTGTTGTGCGAAACAATAGAGGAGAATGGGCAATTGGTTTTCGCAGAAAATTGGAAAAAGTACCACCAACTGTTGCTGAACTTGAAGCCATAATAACAGGGCTCAAGATGTGCTGGGTTAAAGGGCTGAAGAATCTGAAAGTGTTTACTGATTCTACACATGGTTACAATCTGATTCTGAGAGAAAATGTGGAATTTCATCCATGTAAAGATGTAACTGAGCAAATCAAAGATATGCTTGCCAGGGACTGGATAGTTACTATAATGTTTGTGTATACCACATAGAGGGGACAATATTCAAGCTGACTTTTAGCTAGGCAGGGTCATATTAGAAATGAGGTCTTTTGTACCTTTGATCATACGCCCCTAACATTAGTCAGGTGGTGGGTGATGAGAGGATAGGTTAATCTAGGCTGGTTTCTTTCGTATATAGTTTTTTTTATCAATGACACAGTCTTCCATTCAAGAAAAAAATGCAACTATTTTTAAGAAAAGAAAAGGCACCCATTTGACAAAGAGTTAGATAATTGACCACATTCCTTGTCATATTCTCTCTGTCTTCTCACCAAGCCTAGTTAAAGGAACCAACATACCACCATTTAAGTTCCCTATGTTATGAGAAACTTTACTCTTCTTCTTACCATATACAGCAAAATCAATACATAAGATCTCTTTTCATTATTCTCTTTTTCAGCCCCCTAGATTCTGTTTTAAAGTTTTGGAACCAACAATATAAATGCTTTCCCTTACATGGAAAAAGATACTAATTAGACGGTTAGAAAGGCTGATACACTATCAGTGCATCCAAATTTAGGATAGATTATGCACCACAAGTAATCATGGGCAGGGAAAGAATGACTTTGGTTAATGAAGGAGCCAAATGTTGATTATGCACAATCTAGGGTGGATCATTAACAACTGAAGAATTCTAGTGAAACAAATGTGATATCTGCACCTTCTGGTTCTTTCAAGAGCGGAATTTGCAGAAGCTAGTTAGATTGCTATAACTGCTTCCTGCAAACTTCGTTCCTTTCATAAGCAATTATTAAGAGAGCAGAACCTTTATGGCATTCACAAGCAAGAAGAGAGACCTTTAAAATGTTTCTATATAACATAACAAGCCTTGAGAAGGATTAAACTTTAAGACATCTGTTCATTGAATTATATCCAGAAAAGATATTATGAAAACAAAAGTGCTGCAGTCTTACATACACCTTAGATACCTAGAGATAACCTGAACGTTGACATCATATGTAAAACTTTGTCAGTGTTTAAAGGCCGGTGATGTATTGAAGACACAGACCGTACCATTTCAGTAGTCATGATCATGACCTCCACTGAGTCACTCTCTGAGTAACTTCAAATTCATGGGGTTTAAAAGCCTCAACAATTTTCCCGTGAAAAAGCATGATCAACAGCTGTCTAACCTAAATTGCAGCATTACGGTAAAGTTAATCCTTTTCCTTTAATCCAAAAGTTCTCCTATCATTACCAAGAGCTGGGCATGCAGCTCGATAACAATCTATCAATTACAGATGGGGCATGGGGCGGTTAAAGGAAGGCCAATGAGAAGGGAAAAACAAGCAGATACAACCCCACGAAGTCAATTGTTTGTGAACATTATCAATGCTTCATTCAGTAGAACCAAACGTTCCCAAAGCTTCAAACTAATTAAAGACCCGTGAAATTGAAACAAGCCCAACAAATTAATACTGACGGCTCTAGTCAGATGAATTAGAATGGCCATAATTACCACAAATCTTAATCGGTGCTTCGAGTTCGAGAAGATTAGGCTGGCTGAGAAAGACCTCCTTGGAAGAGACACAGAGCTGGCGGATTTCAGACTCCGTAAGCTGAACCTGCTTCGTCGTTCTGCCGTTCTTAGCCGATACAAGCCTCCGGATAATATCGTCGAGAAAGTTCTCGTCCATCAAAAAGGAAAGGAAGGAAGAAATTCAATCTGTCAGAGAAAACTGAAACCCTACGTTACGATAAAACTCTTTATACGAAGAAAAAACAAAAAGCAGTAATATAGCACAGAAAGTTGGGATTCTAAGAGAGAAAGCTTTATGTTAAAGAAGCGAACTCCAAGAGAATCACACCACTTGCTGCGTGTACACACACACACATATACTTCTACGTGATATATGATGTTCAGAATGTAGAATAGCAGGGGCAGACAGCGAACAATGGAGAGCAGCGTGGCCGCCGATTCCCGCTGGCTGGCAACACTTGACCAATGGTGTTATACGCGCAAGCCACCAAATTGACAGAGCACACTGCCAATTTGCTCTTCGAATTTATAGCCTCAAACTAATCGTCAAATGTTTAGAAACATTAACATACAAATCAATCAATTTTTAATCTTTTTTCTAATTAAAAATTGTTGAATGAAAAAGTAAAATAAAAATTAAGCATTGAAATATATATTTTTCAAAATTTAGAGATGTTATCAACAAATCTCAATGAAAAAAAAAAAGAAAAAGAGAAAGAATTTTTCTCCCAACGAAGAACAACCCTTACACCGGATAGAATCATGGAACACGTTTTGCTTTTGTTTTTTTTTTTTTCCGTTGGTAGTTTAGAAAACTAACACCTGAGATAATAGATGTATAAACAAATTAATATCATTTAAATAGGGTAAAATCTTCAACTTTGGTGCGGGTCAAATTGGACGCAACACCTTAATTCTTGATCAAATATGTCACGTCTTATTAAAGAAATTATTTAATATTTAATAATATGCGCGTATATGGTGATCAGTAAAATTTTAAAAAGAAGGAAACATGTTAAACTGAAGCCGAATGGGAATCGAAATATTGGGGGGTGGCGCGTCAAGGAGCGGGCGAAGCGTGACATTGCAAAGAAGAAAACTTTATCCTATAGACTACAGTTGTGAAGAAGAATTGGGCGTTTTATCCACAAATAGTGGCCGTGTTGAAAGGTGCCCGCAAATATCTTGGAAATTGGGTGGTACAAATAGGCTTGTAGGAACAAGTACAACAACGTGACATCTTTACAGGTTTGGGGCATTCTTAACGAATGAGCCTTTTACAAGTAGTGACTCCAAGTTACGCCAAATCCTAAAGTGGGCAGACGTGTTAACTTCCATTTCACGATCTAGCTACACGTATTAAAAAGGATCGATATTTTGGGCAATTGAAATTAAAAGATTCATAACTGTTATCGTTTCTTTTCTATTTGTCGGCCTTTAAAAAAAAAATGCAAGGGATAGAGAAGGAAAAGAAGCATGCTGTGATTCATTCATCATCATCAATTTTCCCTAAAAATTGTTACCAGTTTTTAAATATAATAACTCGTTAACAAATTTGAGTAAATTAATAAAACTAGTTAAATTAATTATTTATAACAAACAGGTATTCTTCTTCCAAAAATATCCTTGCTGCCAATTAAGTGTATTGACTAAAACTACTATTATTATAAGGACTACCTTATCTGATTTTTATTTTGATTCTAAATATAAGATTCTAATACATTTTGTCTCTTATATTTATTCATTTTTTCTAAAATAGTTTTTCTGATAATAATAATTCTAGCCAATAAAGTTCATTAGCAAGGCTATTTTAAAAAACACAATACCTATTTATTAATAAATAACTTAATTTATTTCCTTAATCTACTCAAATTAGTTAACTAATTCTTATATTTAGGACCAGAGTAGTATTTAAAATCAAAATAAAAGTTAAACAAACTCCTATATTAAGAACTACAGGTAATATAACATAAGAGCTACATTAATTAATTTAAGCAGTTTAAAAGGATAAAATAAATTAGTAAATTTAAAGAAGATAACGTGAATAGAAATCTTAGACTACTTTCTATTTTTAACATAATATAAAATTCTGATCTATTTTGTCTTCTAAATTTTAAAAAAAAAATTCCTAGATTATTCATATTGATAGTAAGATGTCCCAGCAAGAGATAATTTTAATGCACATAATGTAAGGAAACATTTTAGGAAAACTAACATACATTTTAAGGAAGAGATTTATAAATTAATTAATTTTTTTAATATTCTCAAATTAATTATCTCACTCTTATATTAAAAACTGAAGGTACTACCTTTGATTATATTTAGGGCCAAATGTAGTACTCATCCAGTCCTAATTAATGTAAAACTTAATTATTGAGTTAATTTTAGTCTTAAGTATAAGACCTAATTACTTCATTGATCTTAAATGTAAGACCCACTTTATAGTATAATTTACACTACAAAATGTGTTTTATATTTAGAATCAGAGGAGTATTATATTTATTAATTTTTCCTAAATTATTCCTATTGGTACTCCCTCCATCATAATTAAGTAAAAGAGGGAGGTATGATATTGAGAAAAATTATTATGTTGTTTTAGGAAAAGCATTTTATATTTTTTTATAATTAACTAACTTTCTTAATTTTTTAATCTAATCAAATTAATTAAATAGATTTTATATTAAAAACTAAAAGAGTAATATTTAACATCAGAACTAACTCTCCAATTAACTTTTATATTAAAAGCAGATAAGAGTATCAAAGATACAATACCTTGCGTCTCATGGATATTAAGAAGGAATCATTGTTTTGACTCGTTCCGTTTTTGCCATTGAAAAGTCAGGTCCATGAACCGGGCCACGGGAATCTCTTTGATCCTTATTTCGCTGCGTCAGTTTATTTTCTGTATCCTTAAATTGGAAAGCAATTTTCTAAGTTAATAAATCAGATGATGAATCAATGAATATTCTGAACTGATGCCTTAGTTTTTGCGGGTTACTTGGCAAATTATGCCGTTTAAATATGGGGGTTCGGATTCAGTACAAAAAATGCAAATAGTAATTAATGCATGGGTTCCATTTTGGTGGCTACTTCTAGGTTTTCAAGTTGATCCTATGCAATATAAAATAGTTTGCAAATAGCAGGAAACCTTGGCATTCAGTAAAAGAATATGTAAGTATCTAAGCCTTGTTTTGCTTAGTAAGCTCGTGGAGAGTAAACAAATATTGACCAACAAATAAGTCAAGTGGAAGGATATGGTGCCACGGTCAAAGAGGCAGAGGGTTGCGGGCTCGACCGGGAATCAATCTCAGTACGTTAATAAAGTGTTCTGGGCATAACTATTGAGATCCCCCCCCCTTTTTGGCACGCATTGATATCTTCTTGAAAACAATTTTATTTGAAACACTATCGGTACTAAATGTAAACACATCTCCTAATGAGAATTCGAGTCTTTGTTCATTATGTTATAAGAAACTAGCCCATTTTTTCTGTGTGCACAGTGATGCTCATCTCCTTGTTTGAGGCCTAGGTTCAACTTATCCCCAAGGCTCATGATAGGTTTAACATAGGCAACCCTGCTACCATCAGAAGATAAGAGTGATTGTCATTTTTATCTCTTTCAGAGACTGGAGTATGTAAGAATTCCAGTCGGCAGGCCTCTTTCGAGGGCGAGGAGATGTCCAAAAACATGCACAGCAAAACAAATCTTCCAGTAATTACTTCCAGACTTAAAAGTACGCTATTAAAATGAAAAGCAGAGAAGTGATAAGGAGTAATATAGTTCATGTTTAAAGAGGCCACGGATCTCCTAGGCAGAAAATTCTGCAAACCTGAATGGAATTTGGGAGCCAAAGGATACCTATGGTGAATCAGATAATGTAAAGCCTAGCTCTCCTGGTATAACTCCTGTATCTCTAATTTGTACTTGACCCTATTCTTCCTTAAAAGTAAATATGCATAGACAGTTTGTGTTGTAACACTGCTTGATACATAAAACATTCAAACCCAATGCAGAAATAACAGACAGCAAAAGCAATAAATGGGGGAAATCCTTAGGTTTTGATATTAAGACTTCACAACACCGAATCAGTGGATCATGGAATCCACTGATTCTAGCCAAAACCCTACTCCCCTGTTACACCAGAAATCACAAAGATCATCAGTGTGATGAGTATCCAAACTTCTGCCAGAGTATAATAATCTATATTGTTTAAAGTTGTGATTACCATTAATGGGTTAGCTAAAGTAACTTTGTCAAAATGTTGGCTTCCTAGTAATGTGATTTTGTCATGTTTTCCATAATATCTGATTATCCGTATCCTACCAATCATGCAAACATGCATCAATAGAGTGGGGTGCGGGTGTGAGAGATTTTTTTTTTTTTTGGTTGAAACTTATAATTTTCTTTTGAGGTTCTATATTGAAATGATTCTTTATTGTTTAACACTACGCATGCGCATTCCTTTTCTTGCTATTTCCCTTTTTAGGAGGTTGTGATCGTTGGTTGAAGTTTGGATGGGTTTTGATCTTTCTTCATTATTGGTTTATTACGATCACTTTGTCGTGGTTGCGTGTTTAATTTCAAGACTCTTTTCCTAAATGATGTAATTATTAGCTTGCATCAGATATTCACTTCGCCTTTTAAATTTTCCATAATAAGTGAAGCTTACTTAGGTTTCGGAAGGAATTTGTGGAAATTAATGCCAGGGTTATATGATCTGCAACATGACTTCAGTTGTCAAAAGCTTATGGATGTGTTACTTATTGACACTGTTTCCTTCCCAAGTTTGTGCAAAGATAAAGGGGGGAAAGCATCAAATATGAGTGAAATCTTTTAACTCACCAGGAAAGAACTGCTCTATTTTTCAGTTTGCCCAAGTCTGTCCATCCAAAATATGGTCAAGACGGATAGCCCCTCCAACCAAAAAAGTCTATTTTCCATCTAAGTGTAGTTTGTGTGGTACAAAATCACGGGCATGAGGATAAATGGGAATATTGTTCAGCAGATATGTAATCACTTCAGAAGACAGTTCTAAGGTATTCAAGTTTGTAGATTAAATCAGTTCCCTCTTGCCATTGAGGAAATCGAAGGGATTGAAGAAGGACTGAATCTATGTTGGCAGAAAGGACAGAGAAGTGTCGAAGTTGGCTGTGACTGCGTTGAAGCCTTGAACCTGATTCTCAGAGAGATCATCCTTTTCAAAAAGATATTCAAGATGTCAGACTGTTACTTAAGAAGGCTTGGGTTGTATTTCTTAGTTTTTGCATATAGGGAAACCTATGAATGTGCTAACCTTTTGGCTAGATTGTCCCATGAATTAGAAAATGATTTTTGCACTTTTGATAACCCCCCACCTCATTGTATCAAGATGGTGAATGATGAAAGGAAATCTAGGAGGGTTTTATATTTGTAATACATTTGGCATCCGGAACTCTTGTAAGACTGAAACTCCCTCTTGTTTACTTATCCCTCCATTATAAACACCTAAGGAGGTCTCGAGATGCGTTTAAGTCCCTCCGTATGAGAATTTTTCAGTCTTTGCTCCTGGATGCGTCGAGCTTCCCATTATCACAAAGAGTAGTGCCTAGATTGCAGGATTTCCAGGGTTAAATGCTTTTTGCTGATCACTAGGGAACTAATTCTCAGCTTAGCCACTGACAGGAAGAAGCACGTACTATCCTATGGTAGAATGGGTAAGTGCCACTGCTTCTGTGCCTACCTAACTTTACTGCTTTTGTACTCAATTTCCCCCTCTTCTTCTGTTCTTGACCCACTCCTTTACAGGGTATTTGATTGTGAATTTCGTAAAAATGCAAAATTTGGAGGCCAGATGGATAAGGGGGGAAAAAAGAATGGTGGGATGTTATTCTGTCTACATGCATATTTTTTCTTACTGTTGGCCAATATGCACCTCCAGAAGTAATGGACTCCTCAACCTGAATCTCCATTTCATAAATTGTATTTTAGGGTCATAAGATTTGGTGAACATGGACTTCAACAGATTTAAGATGTCGGATTTAGCCTCATGGTTACACCCTCCGAGATTATCAATGTTTCTGTCCTTTCAAGAAATGTAAACTAACATACTGAACTTGCAATCAGAGCCATATATTTCTTGCCATGCCTCTCCGTCACTGCTTCACGTTTCTGTCTCAGTGATGGGCCATGTCCAAGATTATCAGCTGCTGCATAGACTTCATTTGACAGTGCGACTTGCTACCTGAAGCAAAACCCAGATGGCATTTGTGAGGCTGCAAAGGAAGGAAGACTTCACACAAGATCATGAAACCCCACAACCCCGAAACGAATGAGAAACATAAAGAAGCGATCACGTACAAGTTCAGTGATTGGATCTGACCTGGTGGCCTGAAGTGCGAAGCATATATGATGGGTTGGAAAAAGGGAAAGGACAAGTCAGATTGATCAGACATGACTCATGAGATCCATTTTAGGTTGTGAGCAAAAAAGGCTGCTTTGTATATATCATATATTATATATCAGACGTGATCACAATGATTGGAATGATGTAATTCTTACAAAGGTTGTGTAAAAAGAGCAGAATCAAATGGCCGGGCATTTAGGCAATATGAAGCTGTTCTCTGTACTCTTGTTTTTCATTTTTTTTTCCCCAAAAAAAGGAACATGTGATTAATCGAAGGGGCCTATGTTCCCCAGAAAAATGATAAATAACATTCTGGCTTTCTAGCTTTCCCTTTTCATCCTTCTCTTTCCCCGAGGATTATCATAATCATAATGAGAGACCAAAACTGGAATTGTATTTCTTCTCAAAGTATTCATACACAGCGTGTGATAGGTGGGTAATGGAAAAATAAGCGAAGTGTCAAGAAAACATTTGATCAAGGAGCAAAACGAGGGCCATTACAAACCCAGCATCAAAACCTGGCTGTACAATCAACTGAAAAACATCTAGTCCAAACGAGGCGCCTTTGCTACTGGCTTCCTTCCTCTTAATCTCAGCAACCACCTCCTTCGACTCATCAAGTACCTTACATGTCCTATGTGCGAAAGAACCTTCAACTGAAAACGCATGTCGTTTATCTGAAGTTCCACGGTATATGTACGCCTGAACGTTGGTATTGCCCTGTAAAATATTCACATGCTTCCTCACACAAAAAATTGGACTCTCTGTTGATCCGTTTCTCAAACCGCAGTTACCCACTTCCCCTTCATATACTAACCAGCAATCTCCAAGTCCAAGTTTCTGCAATCACAATTATGTATCGTAAATAACATTAATCAAAATTATAACAAAATGTTTCGAAACTACCCTGATTCCCCCCCCCCCGGGGGGTTTTGCGACGATTTGCACAGAAAAATGAGACAGAGAGAGACTATACCCTGCGGCGGCGCATGGTGAGGACAGATTTTCCGGCGCCATCCATGAGAACGACTTCCTCTGGGCGCTCGTCGTAGTTATCGACCCGATACGCCAAATTTCCATCAGAATCGATTACCGTGAATCCTTCACAGCTAATTACAAGTGATTTCCTCCAAACTGTTAGCGATGCGCACGGGGTTCCTTCCGTTCTCGGGTACGCCTTCTTCTCCTGCTCACTATCTCGTTCCTCGTGTACTGCTCTTGAAAACGATCTGAACTTTGGAAACACCCTCATCTTCCCCTCTCTCTCTCTCTCTCTTTTTCTATATGTCTGCTTGCCTCTAGACCTGGAGCTTCGACTTATATATACAGACCCCACACACACGTTTAATTATTTATATATTCCCCGAATAGAAAAGATTTGGTCTTTGGTTAAAACTTACGGTGACATGTTGCCTTACAGCAATAAGCACACAATGTCTTATGGAATAACGTGCGGGGCGACGATGCTGATGCTCCTCGCTAAACCATTCTACAGTTACTAGGTGCGGGTGCCTTGTTCGTTCTTTCTTTCTCTTCCTTTCGATTTTCGTTTTCTGAAAGGGACGTTTTTGGTGACACAAAGGTGAAGTTACTGGACCAGGTATATAATTAGATTGGAAAGCATATAGATGCGAATATATATGAAATGAAACGATTAACAAGTGTTGGAGAAGCAGGACGCGTGTGTGCCTAGGTTGTATTGAAGGTGTTAAGATTCCAGAATTGTTGTCTTGTAGTATTCAAGAGCGAGCTTATGGTCATTGGTTAGGTCTATGTATATGGAAAAAGATTCTGAAGAAAGAGACGCAAATCAGAACCAAGACATGGTCATGGGGGAGGGCTGACATGTAAAAGAGATTAATTTGCTGTTTTCCATTCACAATGTGCCAACAAAATGAAGGTAGGAATGGATTCTTGGCTTCAGGAAAGAGACTGACATAACCGGCCATTGTTCTGTGTTGTGACCACCACTTGCTGCATGTGGTGTGTTTCCTTTGTATGATTTGATCTACAAAGTTATATCATTACCTATTATTTGCATAAAATTTCATAAATAATGAGTCACATCATTTGATCTGCATAAATTTTCTTAATATCCACGAGCTAAAACTTCAAATGTTCGACCCTACCTAGGAGAAATTGAGTTTCTTCTCCTTACTAAATCATTATTAGTTTTATTTTGTAATAGTTTAATTGAGGAATCCAATAATAAATATATATAAAAATCCATGTATAGTTTTTTATTTTCCAATTTATATACTCTAAAATTATACATTCGCTTCTGGCAAAAGAATCCATTTTATGTGTTATGTATGAAAATAAATAATATAACTTTTTTTTATTACAGAAAAATATTAATGTATTATATGTATGTTTGTTCTAAATGTTATAGGCAAAATATAACTTTAGCCTCCATTGGAGAAGAGAGAATAATCCATACACTACTAATCCGACACACGAGAAGTTATGGGTCCAAAAGGACCGCAGGGTAGTCAAATAGAATCCAACATGTAGTAATTAGTTGGACTGAGAACCCAACATGCATTTAAAATAATGAAATGTAAAGGCGAGCCTATGATGGGTTGGGAATAAAACATAAAGAAAATCAACGAAAGGCTGGAAAAATCAAGTTGCATTCTTACTATTATAGTAGGAGCACGCATGGTTGAACTAATTATAATCTAATATTAAGGAATTTTTTTTCTTACCAGAATCAGAAAGTAATAGATACGTTTAGGTAAAAAGATGCTTTTGGATTTGGAATAACATGTTATAACTATAATCCGCCAGTGGGCAAATATAATGGATGCCACGTGAGCATAGGCTAGGCCTAGGTGTCTGACGCTAAGGTATGATCCACACCACACTAAACTAGTTGATGAAAATATCATATTACGGCGTGCAGGGCCTAATATAAAAAAAATAATTAAGGATTAAATTTGATTTTAAACATAAATCATCAGTTTATTTTCTCTCTAATATTCATCATTTTTTATAAATTACTTATTGAACATCAAATGTAAATGGTAATATGCATAAGTCAGTATTATGTTCAGAATCAGAATATATAGTTAATCAGTAAGTCATAGAATGCTTATTTCAAAAGAGGGAAATATTTGTATTTATGGATATAAGATATTGGAAATATTTGAGGCAGGGAGCAGAGCTGCCACTGCCGTTAAAGGAAGAAAGAGGATGAAACACGGCTTTGCTTTTGGAGGGGCAAATGGCAGGGGGGCGAAGGGATTACGTCAACTAATAAAGGCAAAACTTTTTCAATATTCAAACCGACCCGGCCCCAATCAGTGTGCCTTACCCTACACCTCCTCTCTCCATTGAGTCTATTCCTCCATCCATCTAGTTTTGTCATGCACTTGTTTGGATGCTAATCTTTATGCTAGATTCCACAAATTACCATTCGTGAATTCAAACCAATTTTTTTTAAAGAAGTGTAAGTGAAAATCAAATCATAATTTTAAAAATAAACTTATAGCATATAAAATAAGTATCTAACAAAATTTATCTTAATTTACATGAAAATATTTAAAGCGTTTTTTTGGGTAAATCAAATATGCCGAAAATCAAATTTATGTTTCAATATAAAGATCTCAAACTATGATTAACTATAAAAACAAGCAAGAAGCGCTCCTTCACGCTTTTTTTTTTTGGCCCCAGTAGAAATTTCATATCATGGGAAAATGTCATTAGGGGGTAAAAGAATAGTGGCTGCCCGTGGTTGAATTATTGGAGTAGTTCCCAGGACTCACATTACATTGCTGCTGTGAAACTGACCTCTGATCGAATCTCTTCTCCACATTATGGTGCCACCTCAGGCCCCTGGGGCCCGCAGTTCGTCGTCCCGTCCATTCATTAATCATTATACTATTGATGATGGCTTCACATTGTATTCTGACATAATTGACACGTGCCTTTTCTACCCAATTGAAATATCTATTCTCTAATTTCGACTGCCCTTGATTCATCATCATTTGAAGCTGATTGGAGTCGTACGTCTATGTCCTTCCTAAACGAGGTCTCCTCTCTCTTTTTTTTTAAAAAACTATACACGAAGTCTATTAATTAAGATGAGGAGTAATATAGGAAGAATAACAGGGAAAAAACTAAAAATTCTAAATCCTAGATTAAATTTTGGTAACACAACTTTATTTGATATTAATAAATTTGAGTTTGTAAATGACAATAAATTTTTATTAACATTTCTTCTTTGACATTTATAAAATCCCAACTTATTTTTTTGTTATTGTCTCGATAATATATGAATATATTTGATGTAGAGGGTGTTTTATGATTTTAAAAATAATTTTACCATATATGAAATTAAGAGGAATTTTATCTCCATTTAGATAAAAAAACACATCTTATAAGTACTTTTGGGTTAAACCAAACACCCCGTAAATAAGGATATAGATAACTATACATTTCCCTTGTTCTTTATCGTTTCCCTATATTTTGTTGATATGCTGAATAATTTTAAATAAAAAAACCAGGAAAAAAGGGATAAAAATAAGGCTTCTAAATATAAGAGTTAATTGAAGATTCAATTTGCCTCTCATATTTAAAATTTTTTTCTAATGTACATAATTAATAAGTATATTTTAAAAAGACATCGCATATTGGTTGTAAATAACTAAATTAACTATTTTTTAATATTTATAAATTAATTATTTGACTCTTATATTGAGAACGAAATATAGTACTCCTCCGATCCTTAATATAAGACTCAATTCTTAAGTTGTTTTTTGTCCTAAATATGAGACCCATTTCTCATATTTATTAATTTTCTTTAAATTACCCTTATGAATACTCTTTTAACCATAATCAAGTAGAAGAGGGAGGTGAGGTATTAAGAAAGATGATTATGGTGTTTTAGGAAAAATGTGTCACTTTTCTTATAATTAACTAACTTATCTAACTTTTTTAATCTAATCAAATTAGTTAAATGGGTTTTATATTAAGGACCGGAGGAGTATTAAAAGAGAGCCAAAAAAAGTTTTTATTTCAAAACAAAAACGTGATGCCCAGTTGGAGTTCACCCTATCCATGACTACATACACAAAGTCTTCTTCCCCCGCAACGCCCCTGTTGCAGACTGACAAGCAGATAAAATCATAAAAGGCATCAACACATACGACCCAAAAAAAGGGATAACTCCAACCGGAATTTGAAGCCATAAAATCATAAAAGCACATGTTTCATCAATGGACAAAAACCCTGAACATATGTTGCAACGAGAAACGAAGCTTGATGAGAAGTCCCATGCATGCAACATTGATCAGAAATTATAAAGATTTAGTACTGGCCATAATTTGTGGGGGAAAAAATGTCAAGGAATTACTACCTCCGGTCCTAATTATAATTATAAGAGACAGTTGACTAATTTGAGAAGATTAAGGAAGTAAGTTGAGTTAGTTATTTGTCCTAAATAGGTGTTATCTTTCCTAAAATATCCTTGCTAATCAAGTGTATTGATTAGAACTATAATTGTTAGAAGGACTACTTTTGAAAAAAAATATATAAATATAAGAGACAAAGTGGATTGGGGTCTTATATTTAAGACCAAAATAAAAGTCAAACAAGATCTTATATTAAGGACCAGAAGTAGTATATATACAAAGAAGAGGAATGTGAGAAATTTAAAAAAAGATATAGAGTTATGTGCAATACACTACAGTAAACACACAGCTATGAACACCACGTTAATTAAAAAGCTCCGAAGAGCTTGCTCAGAAGCAGAAGCGGATAAGTGTGTTGAGCTCATAGTTTCTCGAAGCCACTACCCCCTCAACTCTTACTTCTATTTACTATATATATATATATGTCAGTTTAGTTTATCACCTTTCTTTCTTCTTCTTTTTTTTTTGGTGAACATAGTTTATTACCTTTCTGCACACTGTTTCTATAGCTAAAGACTAGAAGAGGATACGTGCTCACCAAAATAAAACTCAGGCAACTTCAAAATCGAGGAGAGTTGATAATTAAAATTGACATGTTAAGAGAAAACTTAACTCTGAATTGAAAAATATATATATTATTTTGTAAATAATATCAAATATGTAATATAGTGGCAAACAGGCGGGAGGAGTCCCGGTGGTGTGCTTACTGATTGGACAGCGAAGGCGGTGGAATTGCAACTCAGTGGGCCCCCCTCTAAGGTATGCTATAAACTTGAAGAAAATAATCAAGTAACAATAACATTATAATCTGCCAACAGTCCATGGCAGACAAGCTTCGCTTCGACCACACGTTCTTTGCACGCACATAGTTG